AATTTATTGTTTTACGTCCTCACCAAAATGACAATTTATATAATTCTCTGTTAAATAGGATTGTAGTAGAATAATATATTTAGGTAAATGGGTAGAAGAAAATCACGATGGTATTTGGGATATGTTTATTGTAAGAAACGTATATTATAATACATGCACTTCTAAATAAGTAGAAGAAGTAATCTACTAAAATTGAACATTCCCGAGGCTGCTTTTATTTTCTCTTGGGATCAGATTAGTCTAAGAGTCAGTGTCAGTAATTTTCCAGTGTCTGTTTAATATGGTCTGGCACATAACTTGGGAGTAGCTGCTGAAGCTGTGCACACCTGTGTACTGAGCAGTAAGGAAGGAGCTGCTCCGAGGAGAAGGGTTTTATAAAGCATATCAGTGAAGTGCTGGCTTACACCATGAAGTTTTCTTCTTTATTTTTCTTGTTCTACGCAAATAGTAACTATGTAAAACAGATGTTAGTGTTTATCTAAACTAGCTTACTGCCCTCATATTTTATGACAACTGGTCTTACTCTTACAGGGTGAGATACAGCACACTGTTAACAGTAACATTTCTCCCTTATTCCATTTTAATGTTTTATTTTGTATTACTCTGTTACCAAAAAATCCTTTCTGCCTTCTCTGCCACCTAATTCTATGTGCTTCTAACACAAGGGGTTCTTTTCTCTGAATTTTAAAAATTATTTCCATTTCCAGGTTAGAAGTTATTTTTCCCAATCTTTGTCATCAGCTACCTTTTTAACCATTTTTCTGCCTTATGCGTACTTCTTTTTAAGTTGTTTGCATCAAATGTAGGCCAGTATTTCAAATCAGAGCATATTACCAATTTTGTGCACTCCACTGTCATGTTTTCAGATTTACTGGGTCTAAAACCATTACATACATCGTTCCATCCACTATATAATGGTCAAAAAAATGGACTCATTCTTGAAGTGCATGTCCTGTTTATATAATCTCTCATATATTTTTAAACCAGTATAAAATCCTGGCTTCTTTAAAGCAAACAAACAAGCAAAAACCATGAATAAAATACAAACAACCAAAAAAAAAAACCCTCAAACCCTCTGTATACTTGAATAGTCGTATCTTCTTAAATGTCATCAATTATTAATACCGAATTGGGAACACTTTTTTATTTTTTAATTCTCACTGTAATAGCTGATTGCACAGCAAGTGCTACTGGCTCAGATTATTTGGGTAATCATTCTCTGTTGCAGATTGATCTTGTTTAGTGGTTTAAATGCAGACTGGTAAATAATAATATATTCAGTCAGTATGTCTTGATTTAAATGTAAGTGAAAAATGACCTCGCTGACGAGCAGTTGATCAAACCCTTCTGTATGTCTTTTACTGTAGTCAAAAGTTCTTGGGCACTTAGCTTACTTCTAAATGTCATTGTTTTGATAGTAGATTGCTGGAATAAGTTTTATTTCAGACTTTCATATTTTCAAAGACAAAATATATAGAGAAATATATAGAGAATTCACCATCCCTGCACTGATTTAAAAGACATGTAGATGTGGTACTCAAGAACATGGTTTATTGGTGAAGCCCCTTTGTGCCTTAACATTGAGTGACTGCATTCCTAGCTATAACTTTTCTGTTCTGTGCTTTGATGTGAATTCCAACTTGCAGGCTTGCTGAGTATTTAAGAAATCTTAATCCCTTGATATGTAAAAAAATTTAGTATATTTAATTATTACTGTTATTAATAGCTATTATGGTTCCTTCATATTATAAGAACATTTGAACCATAGTAGAAAAAAAACCTTTGGTCTTTTTAAAATAAAGATGAGAAATCTCTTATATTCCCTGTATTTTGTTTGCTTTGGGAGAGATTTGAACACTCTGGAAATGAAATTCAATACTCTTAGTTCAGGCCACTTCAACTTTGGGTAAGTATGCACAGGACTTAATGTAGTTGAACCAGTTTATTTTAGAGACACACCCACACAGCGTTTGATACATTTACTTTCTCCCCCCCAGAGGTGCAGCAAAGCAGGGAGCAACTGTAAGCTCGATGTGCTTTCCAGGTGTGCAGATCCCAGAGTGCAGTCTGGGAGTCAGGCTGGGACAGTCCCATGAGCTGCTGTGGCTCCACAGATGTGTTGGGGTGCGTGTGGCGCGGCCCGGCCGGCGCGGTGCTGATGGGGCAGCGCTCCCTGCTCCGCTGCCGAGCTGCTCTCTGTGCTTTGGCTGCTCATGTCAGGAGTCAGTGCAGAGTTAGTGTACTGGGAGGTCATCAGCTGGCTGCCTTGCCTGTCTGTACGAGTCCCTCAAAATGTTTTTAATATCCAGGCAGATAATCGGAAAGGGAGAGATGATTTGTCCTGAAACTGAACTAGCACAGTGACCGTGGCCAGAATAGATGTGGACTGCGTCTGTATTCCTAGAGCAGTTGTGGTTCTGAAGCTGACTTAACATGGGAAGAAATTCCCAGAAAAGACTTGCTGGAAGATCAATGCAAGGCAAAAACACTGGGAGACAGGTATGTGTGGCACTGGAGGGGAAGGTTGACTTCTTTTCCTTGGTAGTTACCCATTAGATGGGTTTAACTGTACCTGCACCAAATTTTGACACCAGCACAGGTTTGGTTTTTGATTCTGTAGAAGCTGACTTGTTTGACAAAAGCTGTACACTGACTTTCTCTAAGGCTCAATAGACTCCTGTAGGAAGAGTTAATTTCTTGGGTAGGTCAGGTGTTATGCCATTATGATCCTGGCATTTTGACTCAACATACTGGGCACAGGGGGATCTCTACCATGTTTTCAGTAAGGCATTTGAATTAGTCTTGCCACTCCCAGTGGTTCTGTAATTTCTTTAGACATGCCAGGCTAAATCCTGAGTCTGGGGAATTACTAAGTCTTCAATAAATTGACTTCACTTATTTGTAGTATTCTCTTATTCCAAGCTACCGCTTTTTTACTGTCACGATACATGTGGGTTTTGATAGCCTTAGGCATTCCCTCGTTTCTGCAACAGTTAGCTTAGTCCTTGCAGTCTTGCTCTGGATTTTAGTGCTATAGGGCAAAGAACATTTGTTGTTACTCAAAATACACAGTAGTATGTGGTGCTCAGTGTGGCTTTATGAGATACATGTTTGGCTTCCCTGTTGGAAGTGTGCTATGGTTTCATGCACACACTCCAGTGCACTGACTGCTGTGAAGCATGATTTGTGCTTTGGCACGGGTTTTTGCTGTTGTCGCTGTATTTGGGTTTTTTCTTAGTTTGTTTTTAAGCATAACCTTAATTCCCCCTTGCAAGGTTTCTCCAAGGAAATAGTCAACTACATACAGATTTGAAGTAGTCTCTCAAGCTGGTACAGTGCTGGAGGAGCGAAGCTACTTACCTCCAGATTTTAACAGGATCTTCCAAGCTGAAGGAGTCATCTGGGAGAGATGGGAGTTTTTGGCCATAAGTTACAGCTGGCGTTTGCCTCTGATTTAAGGACAGTTATTTTATTGCTTTCTATGTGTAAGACAATTTAAACTTCTACACCCCATTTGTGATGCTCTGTACATTATTATTTTTTAATTATCTTCTACTGAAATTACTTCTAGAAAACCTGCAGGTTTGATCTGTAAGCAAACTGACAAGTGGATGAAAAATTTTGAACTGTTGCAACCTGAATCTCCAACTGGGTCTGTGCCCATCTGCTTGTGCTCAGTCCTTTTTTGGGGGTGAAAACTGTAGAGAAATAGAAATTACCTTGTCTGATTTGCTGGTATATAACAGTGATTCTTGCTTTAGGGTTCCAACCTGACGCTTTCTGCAGTTCCGTGAAGTGAATTAGCAAGTGTAATAATTCAGAGCTAGTTGGGAGCCCATGACATTTCTAGAGAGCTGTGTGTGTATCAGATACTGTTTCTAGAATGTTGCAAAACTTGGGAAGCTTCCAGAAGTCCTGAATCAAGTCTTACAGACCTGATATTCTGTCTTAAAGACGTGTGCCTGATAATTCCAATAACATACACTTATCTTTCAGGTCTCCTGTGTATGTTTAAAAATCTGTGTATAATCAGCTACAGTGTGCCTATAGGGTAGAAATTGGTTTGGTTTTTTCAACCCCCTCATAAATAATGATTTGAATTTCATTAATTCAGAAGTACATTATTTATGGTTTCTGCATGGAATTTTTTTTTTTTAAAAGGTGTTTTTAAAATATTCTTAGAGGACATAGGTTTGTATATATGAGGATGTAATGAAAACATTCACAGCATAGCCACAAAAGGATGGTACCTCCTGTTAGCCTGTTTCTAAATAGCAGTGGTGGGTGGAGGTGGAAGAGGACATTTTAGTAACTGAGTATTTTGGAAAGTAATTAATTGAATAAGCAGTATGGAATGGAATACACCCCTTCAGTTTCCTGTTAGAAGTCTCCAGATACTGAAATTCCCTGATTTACCTAGAGTTGGCTCGTGTGTGTTGTTTACCTCATGCTCACTGTGAAGGGATCCTACAGTAAAAGGTGAACTTTAGTGTAATACATAACTTTTACAGTTACATTGAAATTTTGGTTCTGTGAGAAATTTGTACTAAGGAAATTACTGTGGGGAAGACTTTTTAATATATTAGGTGGTACACGTTCTCCAAAATCACGATATTGATTCAGTTCGCGTTTTATACTATTAGTACTCTTTTCTTTCATCTTACATTTTTCTCACGCTGTTCTTTGTAAGAAACAGTGCTTCAGTTTTCCTTTCACGTGTGCTTGTGGTGCTCTGCACTAATACAGAAGGGTTTTCCACATAGGTGACAAAGCCTTCTTTTTGGATTAAGGCAATTCCTGCCTTCGTCCTGCTAAAACACTGAGCCTTTATTGTTTTCTTCTAATGGCAAAGTGCTTTGTTACAGAGGGATTCATATGTACTTTAGAGGATTTGAAAAACTTCCATTTGTGAGGTCCAGAAATATTTCCCTTACTGTTTGCCTCACTTTACTATTTTTTTCCTTATTTTGTGGTCATCAGAGTTTCTCTTCCTCTTCTAGAAAACGGGGCAGTACTTGAAGGCTTGACAAATGCATCCCAGGTTGAAAAACTTCTGCATTCCTTCTCCTCTTCCTCCTTTAGAAAATTGACTTCATTAAAGAGGTAAAGTTAAATGTTGCTTTTTTTCTTTTCCCCGGCAAAGTGACCTAGAACTCAACTACCATAGCATGCCCCATGATGTTTTAAATTAACTTGTATCCATGTCTCATTCTGATATGTTTCCCTATATCAAAAAAGATGTCTTCAGAAACTTTGTTTGCAGGAATCTATTGAGTTGTGTTCTGTTATTTCATAGAATTATTTGTCAGTGCTCCTGCTGAAGAAAGTCACCCAAGTGTTACTTGATTTTAAATGAATGTAATTTCTGAATTTGTTGTGTTTTGGGATATTTCAACATGCCTTAGAAATCTGGAGCAGTTCCTTACCCACAGGAGTTCGTATTAATGACTTGCTGCCAAGGGCCATTGAAAAATGCTACATGAACTTAAAAATGGTGTTGGGAAGCTTTATATCTTATTTCACTTCATTTTCCATTTAACAATTATCAATCTGTTCTTAAATACAAGTCTTTTTTCAGAAACCGAAACAAGTACATTGTGAGAACAGGTGATTCCAGTCATGTAGACTGGCTATTAAAAAACCCCAAAATTGCTAGTGTAAAATGTAAATAATTCACTTCATGTGCTTATAAATTCTACAACAAATTCTACAAATGCTACCCTTTAATATATTCTTGACATTACTTGTATAGAGTTTAAAATGGGAAAAAAAAAAGAAAAAAAAGGACTTTGAAACTGATGGGTATTAGTAGGTTTAGAAAACATGGTAAAATTTTATGACTGTGTGATAGCTTTGTTGTTATATAAAATTCTTGCATAGCAATTACCAATTTCTTTTTCTGAAAAAAAAAATCTTTTAAAAATACAGTGTCTCTTCACAGATTTTCTGTTTCTTGTTTCTGTTCAGCCAGCTGTTAACCTGCAGGTGCTGTCAAAAATAAACTTTTGATGAAACCTTAACTAAGAATCATTCTCTTCATATGTCTAATACAGCTTTTATATTTTATTATCCCTTCAATTTATCGCTTTTCAGGTCACTATTCTTAGGTTTTAGTGTCTAATATTAGATTACAGCTTCACTCACTTCTTCACACTAAATTTTTTGGGGACCTTAATGACTTCCAGGGCTTCACAACCTGTACTGAGATCACACAAAGACAGAATTATCTTGTTGTTTAAACCTGTTTGAACATCAAGCAAAGGCATCTAATAATGCCTTGTGCTTTAGACAGTTCCTGCTGTTGCTCTGAGAATTAAATTTATGTGAATTCAACGGTTGACAGAATATGAGTGTTGTATATAAAATGGAAAATAAATAGCAGTTGTCCTTGCAAGTTTTCTTTTTTGTTTGTCTCTGAGAATTCCAATGTACTTTTAGAAGAGCTAAATCTTGCCATTTGAATGAGAAGCCTCAAAATTCTTTAAGGTTTAAGGGGCAAAGTTCTGCTATAAGAATTTTTTATAACTGGTTTGTTTTATGAAACTACTTTACTTCAAGCTCTATCTAAAATTGTCATTGCTAGTCTGACATGATTTGTTCCCTGATGCTCTTTATTTTGTTTCACTTGTCTTTTCTTTGTACTATATTTGGTAAGGGAGCAAGAATGGGATGATGTTTGTCTTAAATAATGTACATTTTGGCCTGAAGCACCAAATCCTTCTTTTTCCTCCTTACCCATTTATGCACAGTACTTGTGACTAAGAGAAGAAAATAGTTTGATCATTGGTTAGATAATGGGACTGGTTGTCCAAAATGCAACTTTTCCTGTGGTTTCAGGTTGTATAATTCTACTGGAAAGATGTTAACAGCTTTTCATTGGGGTAGGACTTTACAAAACTAAATTTTCCTACCAGAACTCTTATTTAACTTCTTTTTTTTCCCCTTTTTCTTCTAAAGGTAAGAGAGAAGCAAAAGAAGTAAGAAAATGCTGGGAACAGAACGAGGTGTCGTGGAAGAATGGCTGTCAGAATTCAAGGTGAACTGAGAAGATGAATGATAGCTCAACCATTGGCTTCATGCCACAGGACTTAGTTGTGGGGGAGGTTGTAATATTAAAAATTAACATTTTAAATAACTATTACTTGACTTTCAACTTCTTATAATGCATAAAGCACGAAAAGGGCTGTGTAATTGAGTCAGGTGGTGCATAACCTACAATGCATAGTTCTATTTTTGTTGTTTTGAGTACTGTTGTTACAGTACAGAACACTGCTGTAACAGTGGGGTTTCTTAAAACATGTATTTTTGTGTAGGTCAAGCTGATAGAATTTAACTAACAGCTGGATAGGGCTGCCCAAATTTGTAATTGAAGAACTTTTTATTTAAAAAAAAAAAAATCAGTATAAATATTTGGACTTTAAAAAAAAATCAAAGAAAAATATTTGATTTTTTCCCCCCCTGTGGTCTGCATAAAATTAATTGTTTTGTCAAGAAGAATCTGAACCATTTTTAAGCTATTTTGCATGTTGATAATTACACTGAGTGAAATACAGTGTAATACATAAACAAGAAAACAGGATTTCACGACTGATATGAAATTAATCTGTTATTTAAATTACGAATTAGTAATTCCTCACGTCACTGATGATAGTTAGTCATTATGTGCTGTTGATGGAAATTTGTTTAAGATCCAAGGATACAAAATCCACAGCCATGGTTGCTTGGGGAAGGCTTGAGGCTGTCTGTGCTCATTCTGCATTATCCACACCTTCTAAAAAATAAGTTGAGTTGATTTGATAAGATCTTTGAAAAGTGCCTGTTAAATACAGAATGTCAAGCAAGAGAGTCCACATATCAACCCAGAGCAAATGATTTAATGAAAGATGAGTCTGAAACTGTTTTGGGATTTAACCCTCAAAGTGGTTGTGTGCTCCCAAAAGTTATTTGTGTGGAGAGCAACTTGTACTGAACAACTGGGTTGCAAGTCTGAAAATTTACTGAACTTCAGGATTTTTTTTTTATGTTAGGATGAGACTTAATCCTTTTTTGGAGATCTTTAATACTTGAAAAAATTTATCACCAGGGTAACCATATCATCAAGGTAACCTTTTTTTTTTCTTTAGGCATTACCTGAATCACAAATTTCCAGCTATGCAGCTACATTGCACCGAAAAAAACCATTGGTACCAGCTCTTTATAAGGTCATTCAAGACCCAAATAATGAGGTAGGAGATTTTTAAAAAGATTTTTGTTCTCATTCTTACATCTTTCACCTCTACAACTAAACTGAGAGTAATGGAGATGAAACTTGTTTGATTCTTGTTTCAACTGCAATATAGCATGTGTCAGCCCACTTGGTTTTTTGAGTTACTTTAATGCATTTCTAGTAAGATACAATCTCATCTGCTTCCAAAAGTACAGTTTACACTGCCTGCTAGATTTTACTTGCCACCATTGACTATTATATTTTATTTGGCATGAGTTGTTCTTTGTGAGTTTTTTTGTGGGGGAGGGGATATGTTTGGGGTTTTAGTTTGTGGGTTTTGGGGGGCTTGAGGGTTTTTTTTCTCGTTTGTTTTATTTCTTCCCAGAAGCTACCTTTCAGTCAGAACTGAGACAAAGTAGACCTTGCAGTGAAACTCAGAAAGACCCATGTGCTTCTCTCCTGTTGGCTTATTCAGTGGATGATGGAATCAATTTTTTAAATACTATTAAGATAACAAGATCTTCTTGTGCTTACACTAGTATCACTTCTGTGTTTACACTGCTGTAAACAAGAGCAGAGGCAGGGCCCCAAAATATAAATAGACACAATGAAAACTTACCTTACCCTTGTCCATAATTCATCTTGGATATGACATTAAACAGCTTTCCAACCCAGTGGCTTCTGCTAGGAGCATTTCTGGGCAAGTGTGTGAAATACAACTTCTGAATAGATTGTGCAAGCATGCCATTCTCCAGTGTGTAAACTACTTTAGATAAAATGCTTCAAAGTATTTGCTGTGTCATCCGTGGTCTTGTATGTATTTATAAATGAAATGGGTAGTGTACACAGCAAGGAAGTTCTTTATTTTCCTGAGCACAGCTCAGTTGCTTTTGGAAGCTGAATGGTTGATTGAGCTTCAAGGAGGTTGCATAATGCTCATGCAATTCAAAAAAAAAAGCAAAGGCTTCATAGCTGTCAGCTCCATTTCAGTATTATAAATAACCTGCATGGTGACCTTTCTCCTTGTACTGAAGCTGCTGTTATTCTCTCTCCAACCTGAGCCACCATTGCTGCTGTGTATTTGTGTTTGTGTGTACTCCTGAAAATGTAAAAGCTTGCCTTTGCTTTGAGAATAAGCTTGTTTTTTGTTTTTTGTTTTTTTTTTTTTAAATGTACAAAGAACCAGACCTGCATAAAGAGTATCTTCTTAGGGGTGTGACAGTAATTTTATGTTATTGTTCACTGATGTTTGTCAAATATTACTCTTTGGAACAGCTGTTGCTGTTTGGGCCTGATTCTGATATCAGGAATAAGATAAGCAGTCCCAGGCCCCAAGACATCTAACTGCAGGTTGTACTTGTCAAGGCAGTTTGTATTTCCTTGTTGCACTTCCTCCAGACTTATTTGTGTGGGAGGAATGTAAATATAGTAAATTCATTACATTGCATAATTTTGTAGTAACATTGGCTCTAAGTTTTGAAGTACTGGTTTTTAGATAGTTCAGTAGTTTTTAGAGTTGGTTCGTGGCTGTGGAATACTCCATGGATGTCAAGTTAATTCTCTGCTGGAATTTAAACATTGAATATTCATGTGAGGCTAATTAGGTTTAACTTGAGAGGGCAGCCATGAAACAGAATAACATCACCTTTGCAATGCCAAGCACTCCCAGACCCAGTACTCTTCAAATAATAAATGGTTTCACTCATTATATGATAATTAAACCTAAAATGAGCACATTACTTTTCTACCACAGTTGAATTCTTCAAAACTGTAAGCATTTCCAGTATTTGTCATGCATTTTATAATACATTGTATTTAACTTCAAGATATGACTCTTAAGATTTGGCCAACTTATAAATAAGCCAAACTAAAAGTATTTATCAGTTTACTTAAAATATGACTGGTTTGCATCTCTGTGAGGTGTAAATTAGATCATTCTCTTCTACTGCATATTTAAGCCAGTAAAAGTTCATTTTTTTTGTTATGCTGATTGCTGTTTATGCTAATAGGAAAGATTTTTTAATTATGAGTCTTTAGTTTGTCAGGAAAGAGATAGGATTATAAGAGATGTTGTGCTCTGGATTTTTGTACTGATTGCTGTGCTTCTCAGTTTGCTTTGACTTTGGACTGGAAGATCTTTGGAATGAAAGAGTGTGCCAGTTCACGTATACACCCACTGCTGATGACAAAAGCTCGATTTCCTCTGTTTACCCAGTGCCTTCTCAGTATTTATATTCAGAGGATTAATTGGAAGAGGCTGGCTCTTTGAAAAGCCAGATAACTATGATGCAAGGAGAACATCTGTTCTTTCTTAACTTGTGTCAAGTTTCCAGGTGGGAGACTATCCTACTATACTTGGATAGGGAAATCTCGAGTGTTCATGCTTTTAAAAGTATTTGTGTTGTGGCATCTCTGTGATGGCAGCTCTTTCTTGTAGCCTCAAAGCTCTGAACACACCAAAAGCACGATCGTAGTTACGGGTTTTGCCCTATGTAATGTGCAGTTGTTAAACATTTTGCACAACAAATATGTCAACTACTAAAAATGAGGAGAATTTGCATGCTTGCAACACCAGTCTCTGGATATTGCTTGTATCTTTTTAGGGAGCATAGTTGCACTTAAAAGATTAATTTTATAAAAATTTCATTTGAAAGTAGGTAGAATAAACTCAATAACTGCTCTGGTTGAGTCTCATCTGACTTAAGCCAAAATAAATTTTTCTTTTCCGTGTTTTTAATGGGACTTGGATTAGACTGGCTAATTTCAAATAGAAAAGAGCTTTGGGCTGCTGTCATCTCTAATCTAATAGAAGTACTATTTATAGCATTGTCTCTGTATATATCTGGTTTCAGATAATAGTTTTTAGATTTTCTTGCACTTGCCATCTCCCTGCAGATATGCTTGTATGTATTCTTTTCAGAGATTTCTTTTTCTTTTTTACACTAGCTTCCTGATCATATTGCCTTTTACAGAAAATCTAGAAAATTCATTCTAGTAATGTCTGAATTATTTGTTAACCACTTCTTAAATTTGAACATCTGAAATGTGCTAGGCCTTTCATGAAACACAGATACAGTTCTGTCTCTGAGGATTTGAACATTTCCTGTAACAATTGGTTTGAATAATTATTTTGGCATTTTTAGATAGGAGTTTCTACTAAGTAAATATTAATTAAGAAAGGATCTCCTTCTCCCTCTTTTGAACATAAAGTGCTATGTATGTATGAATACTGGAATAAATATACTAGCTAAAATAATATATGCTCAACTTGAGAGAGAAAGCTGTATCACTTTTTTTTCCTTAAAATGATTGCAACAGAAGCTTTGCAGACATCTAATTTCATTTAGGTCCCCAAACAAAAATTGTTATATTTTATATATATAACTTGCAAAAATCTCTGTGTTCCAGTCCCTCTGTATCAACATTGTCACTGACAGCTTTCTTCCCTCCCTCTCTTGCAGAGTCTCTCTTTGCTTCTGTTGTAAATGCAACCTTCTAGCTTAGAGTAGCCAGTCTGTCAGTCAGAAGCCTTGTTACACAAGGTACTTACAGCAGAGTATTGTTTAAGAGATTTCTCTGACAGCTAAGTTTTATTCGACGTCAGTGTTCTGTTGTGGCTTATGTAATCAGTGGTTTAAAGATGGCAATCATTGACCACAGTACTGTGTGTTAGAAACGAAACCGAGGTGTTCACTGCTTCCTGGGTGATGCTCTCTTAAGGCAGCCAGCTGTCTTTTTAGGCAGTTCTGTCAGATGGCTGTTTTGTGTTTGTGATACACCAGCGTCCAATATCTAAGCCTAAATGTGTGTATGTGAAGTTGTACATTTGTAGGTTTTTGGCATTGCACATTTATCAAACATTCACACTACTCACTCACAGGAATGTCTGTCCCTCTGCTGTTAGCCAGGGACTTTTTGTCTCTCCAATACAGCTGCAACTGTGTTGGTCAAGTGTAAGGTTTTTATTGCTCTAAAAACATGTATAATTTGATGTTTTATATTTTGTGTGTGTGTGTATGTATAAGCAAGCTGCATAAAGCCTGTACTGTTAGAAAGAAGGCTTGTTGGAGATTGTGACCTCTGTTTTCTGACTCCATAACTCTTCTATATGATGAGCATAGATGCTTTAGGTTACATGTATGCCTCTGTCTTTTTGGACAGTGAATCTCATAAGTATTTTCCTTAGGTCATTCTTTTTAATAGAATGCAATGGTAGATAGTGGTCACAAACCTTACAAAAATTTGTCTTGGAAATTTAATATTTTTTTTTCAGGATTTTTCCCCCCAGTTTTTGGTTTTAGTATTAAAACTTGATTAGTTGTGGGAAAAGGTGAGACCGTTTGACGTTCATTAGCAATTCCATGGATGCATCTTAACTGTTAGTTTGGCATTGTAGACTCTTAAAGTTGAAGGTTTATCCTGTGCTTGTATCACACTGACTTGATAGGGGCCTTTTTTGATTCTTGTACTGAAACCTGAAGTGCAGCTCAAGATGGAAAGATCAGTTTTGCATTGTAATAAACATATGCACACTTGCTGGGTTTGAGACTAAAAAGCTGTAGGTAACAAATCAATTCGTATTTTCTGTCAATGGGCTTATCATTAGCAGCTAATCTTTAACCTTTAAACTTTTATAGACCTTACAGCTGCACTAATCAAGTTTTATGGTGCACATAGTTCAAGCCACGTGTGTGTCACACGCCATAAATTAGTACCTGTATAGAGAATAAATCTCATACTGACAGCCCTAGAGAATAATTGTCTCAAAGCACTCATGGTAGTGGTCGCAGTAAAGCCACATTGCCCAATACAACACGCCAGTCCCCCTGAGGTCTGTCCTTGTGGATCTCCTTAAAAGGAATGCAGGTACCATTTTGATTCACTCCCATCAAAGAATGTGATTTTTACTGGCTGTGGTGGCCATATGGTACAGGCCCCACATTCACTGTTTCACTCTCCCTTAGTAGAGAAACCTACCAATAAGTCATGAGCTCTTTTTGCCTTTTCCACAGCTCCTGGAGCCCGTTTGCCACCAGCTCTTTGAACTTTATCGTAGTTCTGAAGTTCGGCTCAAGAGATTCACGCTGCAGTTCTTGCCGGAGTTGATCTGGGTGTACCTGCGTCTGACTGCCAGCAGGGACAGGCAGAGTAACGGCTGCATCGAAGCGCTGCTGCTGGGCATCTACAACTTGGTCAGTGACATGAGTGGGAATGGGGGAGGAAGGCTTTAAGTTTTGCATCACTGACCACTGGGAATAAAGTCAATTATTGCAACAGCATCTTTAAAATTAAAGTACACTTAAATGAAAGCGTGTTTAATGTGGAGAAAAAGATGATGTAATGAAGGTTTAGTAAGGACGTGCTCACTTTTAATATTTTATAGTTATCTTCTATGGGAAAAACATTTTAACTGAAAAGGATCATCTCGTGGGCTTTCTCAAACTGTTATATACTTGTGTTTGTAAGGAAATAGGTAGCCCTCCTTAATGTTCCAAAATACAGCTTTCTGTGATTGTCAGGCTAATATGTTTGGTAAGTGTGTCACTTCCCACTCTCTCCCACTTACTCTGAATGTGTCTTTAAGGGTAATTTGAAGATGAAACCACCCTGCATGCACTTAGATACATACATGTGTACAGTTGAGTCAGAGTCTGGAGGGGAACTGTGATTTTAAGAATAAGTAAAAGTAATTATAAATTATTAAGTTTGGCTGTTGAATGTAAAAATAGTTTTTTATATCCTTATCTTAGCCTGGAAATGTTTACTTTTGTAGTGTTATAAGGCTGTTTGATAAATTCAGCAATACTGCCACAATAGGCATTCTCTAATGGGAATTTCTGTGTTAAAACATACTCTACTGAAACACTGTCCTTCCCTGTGCTGTCATTGTAAACCCCTCCTTTGAATTGTGTATTATATTTCTACACATGATAAGACACAGAACAGCCAAACTGTGATTCTTAAAAATAAAATATATTATAGTTATGCATTTGTAGATCAGCTCGAGCAACTGGAAGATCTAAATATCTTAGATTCATTCTGATAGAAAAAAGCACTGGGAACTGCTTGCTGATTTTTGGTGCTGTTTATTGGATTGAAGTAGCATGTTTATCTTTTTGCCCATTGTCTCATGAAGGTTCTTCTGCAGTTCCTTTTAAAGTCATGTCAGTGATTCATATGTTTTAAGGACAGTAATTTCTCCAATCTCTCCAGATTCAGGAAGAGACCTCAGAATGGACAGTGTCTCCCACTACTTTTTATCTTTAATGAAGTTGATATTTTTCTGCATATATTCTGAGACTTGAGGGACTGAAGTTAGTTTCTCAATACTTACAAAATAAAAGATAGGGATAAATCTTTTGCATTCTGCTAAATTCTGTCAGCTGCCCTTCTGTTGTAATCCTTAAAACCTGCTACAAGTACGGAGTTACCTCGGGCTAAATTTTACATAAGCTGGAACGACTGGAGCTTATTGTTTGAAAATTTGCTGTACAAAGTGCACAAGGCAATATTTTAGACTCCTTTTTGGAATAGTCTTATATAATTGCTCTTAGTACATTTTCTTTAAAAACTGCTGGGTTTGCTTGTGTAGTAGCCCAGCAACTATAAAATATGACCAGTCTGAAAGCCTTTTGAGAGAACACTGTGTATTTCCCACTGATAGCATGCCTGAGGAAACTTTGCCAGTCCCCTTGATTTCACCTTTTCTCTGTGGTGCATTTATTATGAAATACCATCCATTGTCAGCAAGTGACTCATCAGCCCTCGTGTGTCAGTCTCTTTTGGGCTTGAAGTTTAGCCTTGCTCCACGATTGCAGTTCTGTTATAAATAAATGTTATAATGTAAAGGTGGGCTAGAAAAGCTTTTTTGTTCCTGTTTTGTGTGTTTGTTTTGGAAGTCACACCCATCAAGGAGCCCCGGCTGGTTTTTTAAAGTGTTGCAAGCTGATTCTGCAGTGGCTTTCCCACTTCTTAAATGTGCATGTAAATTTGCTGATATTCTGCAAATGCACAGAGTGCTTGGGGTGCTAGGAGATGGGGTCATCTGACTTATTTTTGAAATACCTTCTAAGAGTTGAAAGTCCCTCCGAGTTCTATAGCCTTACTTCTGTTTGGGTTTTGGTCTTGTTTTTAATGCAGGAAATTGCTGACAAAGATGGAAACAACAAAGTTTTATCTTTCACCATCCCTTCGTTATCTAAACCCTCAATATATCATGAGGTAAGAGAGCTGCTGTGGTAAATTAGAATTGGATCTATTAGAGGAATGAAAACTGGATCCATTTGATGCCGCAGGCTATTTTAGATCCATCTTGTTGCAGTAAGTTTTCAGTGTCACTAGTGTGCAATTAGTGTAATCGAATTCAATAGCATTAGTTGAAGAAAAGGAACGTAAATGTTGAAAAATCTTTGCTGACAGTGCCCATTTTAAACAAATGTTAGTGGTGTTGTAGTTGTGGCTGTGATTAGTATATGTGCTAGTATAAAATTAGTGTTCCTTCTAGCTCCTTAATACAGTTAGAACTTGGAATTGTGTTTTGCTTTCTCTACTGTTTCTGGACAAAAGTCTGTGTGATTAGGACATTACTATAAATGGATAGGTAACAATCAAAGTTGAAAATTGCTCTCGACTGCTCTGTTGCTTGTAAGTGTGGATGCTGTTTGCAATAATGAAATTAGGTAATGTTTTTAGATTTACTGCATTCTGGAATAATCTTCATTTTTACAGATAACAAGATAAGTGTGTCTTTTGGCTTGAGTGGTTAGGAGTTTTTTGAGGACCTTTTACTTATGCTTTGTTTCCCCCCCTCCTCCTACCCCCTACTTCTAGCCCTCTACTATCGGGTCCATGGCTTTAACTGAAGGAGCTCTAAGTCAGCATGATCTAATCAGAGTAGTTTACAGTGATCTTCATCCTCAAAGAGAAACCTTCACAGCACAGAACCGGTAGGTGATGTACTCTGGCTTCACTAGGGAGGCAAGTCCTTAAACATTAAGACCAAATATATTATGTGATCAGTCCTTTCTCAGCATTAAATGCTTGGAAACAAATCTAGAGAACAAGTTTTGGTAATCTTGAGGTATAATGGGGTTTTTTCCTTTGTTCCAAATTTTTATGTGCTTCTACTAGTTAATTTAGAAGAGTAACTTCTCTGTCACTTCTGTGTAGGTAAGGAATATCTTTGGGTTTATGGCTGGCTGTTCACTTTTTTCTTGAAGTATAACAAAATTCAGCTTTGGATTTGAGGCTGTGACTTTTTTTTCCACAGGAAGAAGGGAGTGGAGCTAAGTGGATAGACAGAACTAGGGGTGCAATAAATTGCCCTGATGTTTAGTGACTGCCAGCTTTACCTGTGTTTAAAGACAGCTCTGGGAAAACTGATAAAATAATTTTGAATGCATTGCAGACATTTCCAGTTCTATAGCTTTGTCCAAATGTTATACCATATCCTATTTCCTTTGTAGTTCCTGCATAGGCTAATGGCTTTCAGTAATAATAATTTTAAGTGTTTATAGTGACCCTCTGATAACCTTTTGATAATTTCAAGTTAATGAACTGTAATGAAAGAGGGTTTAAGGATTTGTGTATTTACTTCTGATACTTCTTCCTGTGGGGTATTTTTTGAGACTGAATTGTAGACTTTTGGGGTTAAATTTTCATGCAATGTTAAGAATTTAAACCATGCAAGGTTTTGCTCTTGTCTCTTTCCAGGTTTGAGGTGCTGAGCTTTCTTATGCTATGCTACAATTCTGCTATTGTCTATATGCCTGCTTCTTCTTACCAGTCCCTTTGTACGATGGGTTCCAGGTGAGACACTTGCCTTTGAAATAGTCTTTCAGGGTGCATCTCGACTTCTAAATATTCATCCAGTAAAAAAAAAAAAAGGTGCTTTCTGATGGGAATGGATTAGTTCTTGGTATGCTTCCATCATTTTCACTTGAGTTACAGCTATGCTAAATTTGCCAAACACGTTGAATTTTCCTGCATCTGAAAATTAGATCTGTTCTTTGAGTAGAGAGGAGAGAGAACATTTTGTATGCAAGGGATTTCTGTTTTGGAAACAGTGCAGCAGGTACTATGTATTAGTGGCTTCCATGATGAAGATGCAGATAGTAAACTGATAGAATGGATGATCCTGGTTTTTATGGAGGTGGTGTATGGGAAGGCAGGACCCGTTTTCAAGGAGAGTGCTTTTTAGAAGGCAGCTGAGAGCAATTCTCAAGAATATGGTATATGTATTATCTAACTTTAGGTAAAGGGTGATTTCATGCTGTCATCATACATTAGATGGGAGATGACATATTTCTCTTCTGAACCACTGAAATGTTTCCTTTAAAGAAAATTGGTTTCAGTTACTGAATTTTGGGGAGGGTCTTCTGCCTGGTGTCTGGCAGCAGAGAACATCTTGCCACCCTCATTCCTTAGAAACTGGTTGAAGAAGATGTTTTGAAGAAAACAAGTGGGGTTGATGGCTACAGGAAAATAACGCTGGATTATCAGCAAGCCACATCTCAAGGCACTGTTACAAAACTGCTGTAGTGGTTAGGAAAGGAACATAAGAATCTTTCATGTTGTGTATTTATATTTTGAAAAATAAATCTGAAAATTAACTAAAATCTCTGTTGTATCAAGACATTTTTAGTGTTTGTGGAGTTTAACACTGTTGTAATGTTGGTTTTTTTCAGGCTGTGTGTGAGTGGATTTCCACGGCAGCACGAGAAACGCTGGAAGGAGCCCTGTGGAAGAGTGGTATTAGACCCTGACTTCATGGTGCAGCTGCTCACAGGTGTCTATTATGCCATGTAAGTGGATGGGGTTTTTTTCCCTAAAGAGAGAAAAATCTGATTTTAGGTGAATCAAAATATAAGTGCCGGTTGTTTTATAATTGAAACAAGTAGTTAAGCTGATAAGGCAAGTTTATAACTCGCTGAGTGTATTTCCCATCAATTGCTTATTCAGTGAACCCATGATTTCAAAATATTTGTGTGAGCACTGGATTAGGTGAGGAAGGGTGAGCAGTAGGTGCTAAAGAGAGTTTGGCTTCTGGTTTCATCTTTTCCCAAGTTCCCACTACCACCAGGTACCTGCTGTTCACAAGCATAATGAGCTTGGATGCCAAGATAAACTGATGAAATGCAGACCTCTAGGATATCAGTCTCACCTGAGGCAGCAAAAATCCATTTCTGGTGGAAATTCAGTTCTGCTAAGTAGCATTAACCTTTACATACTGACCCCATTTTTTTTATATATATTTAAGTTTGTCCTGAATATGGCATCAATTTTGTTGTGCTTGGATGTGACAGGGAACTGCTTTCTTGTTCTACCAACAAGATTAATAAAAAAATATTTTTTCTGTACTTTTAAAAGAAGTGACAGGGTTGGGGTGTACAAAGATGAATTTTCTGTGTAAGCAAAGAAGTTAAGATCAGGATTTGGGCAGAAAAAAGACAAGTTTGTCTTCATAAGATGTGAAAGATAGATATTTATCTTTACTTTTTAGATATAATGGTCAGTGGGAACTTGGCCAAGAGGTATTGGAGGACATAATTTACAGAGCACAGCTTGAACTCTACTCACAGCCTCTGCTGGTAAGAAACAATCCATTGCAATTTATGGGCTTGGTTCAGAGGAGTTTGGAGGTGTTTCTGAAGTGGACTGGTAATGAGAGCTTTTGTGGCCATTCACTGCACTGTCCAATGTGAGTGGTTGTTCAGCACAGCTGTTCATACCAGACTTCTTCTGCTTGAGCTTCAGCCATGGTGCTGGGATCTCCTAGGACTCCTTGATGCTGAAAGCTGGAATTTTCTAATGTGTTACAATGGGCTCAAAATGTTTACATTTTTTTGGCATAAGCTACTGATGAGTGGTTCAAAGAAGCTTAACTGAATAGTTGATATGTCATAGGACAGTGGTTGCAAAAAAGGTGTTTTCTTTGCTTCTAAACCTTCCTCACGGCTGAGAATAAGCTGTGTGGTTTAACTGAGAACTCAGTAAAAAAAAAAAACAACAACAGGATAGAGCTGCAACTGAAAAGGAGCTTCATCTCCAGAGTCAATACCAGATTTTAATCTTTACCTTCTTTGGAAGAGCAGCAGTAAAATGGAGTAGTTCGGATTGTTTGGATTTGGGATGGGGTTTTTTTCCAGTTTTTACTGTACTTGCTGTTCTAATCATAAAAAGAGTGAAAATAAATGAGGAAAGTGGTGAAACTGGGCTGGGTGCAGGTGGATGTGATTGGGAAGGATGAGAAGGTTGACAGAAAGGAGGAATTTCTGTCACATGTAGGAATGAGAAGCAAAAGAAGAGGGAAAATTAGGGGAATAAAGTAAGATAGACTGCTGTTTCAGTTTCTGCATCAGAATTGTGGCTAGGAGCCTTTAGTTCTCTGAACTAACAGTCATAAAATTTCACTGCCTTTTACATAACTGAAAAAGTAGATTGGCAAAAATCTCTTTATGTGGCAATCTGAGATCACTCTTTTCAGAAATAAATTACATAAAATTATTCTCTTGATAAATTAATACTGGCTATAAAATCTGTCCACAGGCTTTCTGACACTGCTGTATTTAAAATGCCTGATATCCATTGAATTATTGTAATAGTTGGTTCCTTTTGGAAATGATGCATCACTCCATCAGATTGAAAGTTTTAAATTAAATATTGAACCTGCTGAATTGGGCCATCCTATCAAGGATTTAAAAGATGTGTAGGAGGATCTGGAACTTGATGATATGACAATTTTCAGTATTCATTGTTCATTTTTAATCAGTTTGTCCATAGAGATTACTTCTAATTGTAAGAATCTTCTAGAATATCTTTAGGTTTTTTCCAAAGTTCTTACTGCTTCTCAATCCCACTGTCTGGTGTTGGTGACATCATGACATCACCAATTTCTACCCCTTCCCACTTGTCAGGTTTTTCCTGCATATGCATGCAGGTCTATCTGAGGAATTTCTCTTCTTAGTACTCTAATCATTGCCTGCCTCCTGTCTTGTTTTACTAAAATTTCTAAAAAGCAGCTTTACAAAATGGTCACTTTTACAAAATAATTGCCTGGATGTCCCTGCCCTCATGCTATATATTTAAGCAATTTGACTTTTTCCAAGATTGGAGCCCTTTCATCTCCTTTCATTTTTCAGGAGAGATGTATCATTTAGCAGCATTATAAAATTCAATATTTGAAATCTAAAACTACTAGCACTAAATAAAGTATCATCTGGGATTCTACACAGTTAAGTTTCAAGTTCAGCTTCTACCTAGGATTTCCTAATAGCAGCAAATTCTTCAGACTCCATTTAATGTCGGGGCAAACCTCCACATTATGGTTATTTTTAGATATCTGAAGGTATTTGTGTGATTATGGGAATACCATTGGTAATCATTACAATGAGAAACATCGTGGTCCCTGTGTTTGAGTATGTCTCTTGGAGAAATATTTTTGACAATATAGTAGATCCTTGCTCTTACTTACATAGGTTTTTATCACCTGGAGGAAAAAAAAATACAAAACCCAACCAAATGCCAACTGGAATAGCATCATCAGAAAGCCTGAAATACCTGTAATGTAGAAGTGTTTTTCTGCCACTGTTACCCAGAGCAGAGACACTTGGGCTTTCCTACTTCAATACAAAGAATCATGGATCAGCAAATCCCTATTGTGACAGCACCTTTATCCGGTGTGTTTTATTGATGCACTTACTGCTCTTGTTGAATGTGCTTTTGTTGGAGCTCCTTTCTGGTAGACAAGAGTGGATGTCTGGCCTGGAACCAACCCTCCTTTGTCATTGATGCAGACTCGGCTTGCCAAGTCTGAATTGTGCTGTGTGTTTATTTTCCTGCCTTTCAGTGCTAGATTAGACATCGTGAGCAAGTGTTTCTGCATCCTGCAAGATGATAGTTTTGAGGGGATTTTTGGTCAGATAAGGAGTGTGACTCATTCAGACTGGTTGTTCAGATTGTTTCAGAGATTTACTGTTGCACTGATTTTTATCTCCATATGGTTTTCTCAGTCCCCAGAAGTACAATTTGTGCTGTTAGAAAAGGCCAGCTGTTAAGAGGTTCAACAAGCAAAAATGCTCTGTCACTTTTCTGGTTCTGTTACAGGAGCCTTTTGCTACTAGCTTTTAGATTAATTTTTTCTCCACCATGACAAGGGGGCCTATTCCAAAGAGGTAGCAACTCCACTGAGTAGAAGATAAGAAGGCAAACAGTTGTCTAATGTTGAACTTGATCTGTTCTGGTTCAGTCAGCAGAAATGAGTTTCTCAGGTCTGGAGTGTGATCAAGTGATGAATGCAGTCTGTGCCATTTCAGGAAAGGGCATGGAAAAGGGCCTAGGTGTGAACAGGAGAGCAGTTCACAAACCAGTATTGAGGCTGAGAACTGGTTAGCAAAGGGAAAATCAGCATTGGACAAGTGGAAGGCAGAATGATAAGGAGCATTTCTATGATGGTGCCAGTAATCTTTTGTGCTGGTTAGAGGTCAGACAGGAAGGCAGTGGAAAAGATGTTTGATATAGAGTTACAGGATCACAGTGGCAGCAGGAGATCAGGATCAGCTGTGGCTACCGTTCCAGTCCCCTAGGACTGGTATTTTTATTGTTGATTAGTTGTATAATGTCAGTAAGATTTTGGAAAAATCCAAGTGTGTCCATTTTGTGGGTTGCACTTTTGTTTTGTTTTTCTTAAAACTTTAAGTAATATTTTGTGTGCATCAACTTTGTTATTGTAGAATACTGTGCATGCCACAGAGACCCAGAGCTTTTCAAGAGCTGCTACACAAGTTCACTTTTTTTGAACAATTTACTTGTAAGCTAGGAAGCATTTCTGAAAGTTGTTTTTTCTTTTCTAAAGTAAACCTCTAATCACAGAAAGGCATTTTATGGGAAATGTAAAGAAGCAATTAAAACATCAAAGCCAAAAGAGGTCACTTGTTCTTCTCAAAGCTGCCAAACAAAACTTCTGCCTTTGTACTAGGCTATTAGAATAAAAAAATAGGTCTAACAAAGATGCATGTATTTTAATAATTTGATGCTCACTGCTTAGGTTGCATTTTAAAAAAAAATAAATGTCGCCAGTTCCTGCAGTCTAATCCCCTTGGTTAGGTTTTGTTGGGGTTTTTTGTTTAGGGTTTTTCTAGGGGGGAGTCAATATGGGGTAGGGTGTGGTGGAAACTGGCCCTGTCCTTCTGTGCATTGGCTTGGCCTGTGACTTAGTTTTATGCCACTCTTGTCATAAAACATAAATGGTATTTTCCTTGTCATTTTGCAGTCTCTTTTGGATGGAGACCTTCCTGTGTAGGTTGTTATCTCTATCACTACAGGTGGCAAATTCAACTCAGGTTTTGGGAGTAGGTTTGTGATGAGCTTTTCAATGTAGTTACCAACTGTGAATCTTGGGGATGGCGCCATCTGGCATAATTAACAATTCTTGGTGGTTCTTCTTTCTCCTATCCAGCAAGAGATCTAATATTGCCTCTAGAGCAATCAAGGGCAGTAGTAGTACAGCATTTTACTTCTATCTTAGGTTGCAAACGCCATGAAGAACTCGCTGCCCTTTGACGCTCCCGACGCATCGCAGGAAGGCCAGAAGGTACTGAAAGTGGAAGTTACTCCAACGGTGCCGAGGATTTCTCGGAGTGCTATTACAACAGCCTCTATCCGTCGGCATCGCTGGAGGAGAGAAGGTGAGCTTTCTCTGACAGGGGCAGGTATTGCAGTGTACTGTACTCATCATCATCACTGTAATCTGGCTTCTGAGTTTGAATGTTTGCAGAACAGTCGGCGGAGTTTTTTGTTTGTTTGTTTTTGAAAAGTGGTACTCCATAATAATGTATAATATTTTACATCTTCAGAGCACTGCATGAACATGAACATTTGGGGTGTTTGTTTTGTTTTTGATTTGGAGATAAACCACGAGGTAGGTGAGAAAATGGAGAAGGTGGGAAATGTTTAATTCTTCTGTTCCCCGTGTAACACAGCACAAAATCGTAGGGGTAAAGTGTGGCTTAGAATTTAAGTTCTTTGTTTAATCCACACAAAAACTCTCATCATAAATAGCTCAGGGAATGAATGGTAATAACAGACCTTGATAGGATTCCAGCTGCCTAAAGCTAATGATGGCAGAGGGAAAAACTGAACACCACCCTCCCATCATATGGCCCAGTTTATCAGGGGGCCATAAAATAGGTTTGGATAGTTCAGAATTAGTCTTTATTTTTCCTCAGTGAGTACTTACGTGGTATGGACGTGTGCTTGATTGTATGAAGAAAAACAATAAATATGTAGTGATCTTTACCTTGGTGCGATGACATCTTCAGTGTAGGTGTAGCAAAAAACTTGCTTTGAAATCAGTTTGTCATACTTGTAAAGCTTTGTTGCTCCATGTATTAACTAGTGGTTTAAAAAAGCTGCATAAATTGATGAAGCTAAAAAGTAGAATAACCTAAAAATAAACTGAAGATAAAAGAATCTGAAACCAGGAATTGCATATTTTCCTGTGGTACTTTCTTCCCCTCCTCCCCCTTTTATTTTCTTTTATTCTTCTCTGTCACGTGCAAAAGGATGTGATGACCTCTAGTCTTCAGCTGAATCAGGATGTCCAGGACAACAAGTCTTCTGTTTCCAGGACTCTGGGTCGTGTTTGTCTTCACTGTACTTGCCATTATATTCATTTCTGGTCTACAGTACAGCCCACCCGTCCCTTTCTGTGGATGTTCTCCCAGCGTTTAACTGAGCATGGGTAGTGTTCTGTGTTTGTTCCGTGTCCGCATAAATCTTCTATTTTCCCCGCCTGGGTTGGAATGCCAAGAAAGCAACAGAAAAGCACTAAAATGTTATATGTTGAATCCCAGATGGCTTTGACTTCTCAAACGAGGCTGACTCAAGCATTCCTGGCTCACCGATCCAACACGGCTCCACAGACCTAGGGATCAAACGTGAGCAAGAGGGGGAGGTGCTGATGCGCAGGACCCCTGAGCATGGCTTCCCGGAGCCCACCTTGGCAGCAGCCACCACAGAGGGTAGGACAGAGATGAGGAGGCAGAAGTCAGTGAGGCAGTTGCTGGAGGAGGATCCCGGCTCCCTATCCCCAAGCAGAACTTCTTTCCATTCTAGTGTGTGTTTCCGCTATCCCAGGGTGTATTAGCTTCTCTTTGCAATACACGCATCCCCTATATACCTAACACCAGGTCAGGTACTACCTTCTGTTAGCACGTGGGCTGGCCTGGGGCTTGCATCTGTGTGGTGAAAGACTGCTTGGCATGGCAAAAAAAATAAAAAAAGAAAGACAGGGGTAATAGCCAAGAGCTTTGGGATTGCTTGGAAACCTTCTATTACTGAGCATGTTTAATCTAATATTAAGAAGGAAAAAAATGCACCAGATGAGCAGGATTCTAGTCCTGAGAAGTAGGCCGTGTAGAGAATAAACGGATTTGGCTACAACTTAGTTGCAACGGTGTCTTGTTAGTCTGCAGATTTTAAATTTTCAAGAATGAAAAAAGTCAAGCCTATCTACGATGAATATACAACTGCTGATGTTTTATTTGTCAGTCATCCTTTAATTGAAAACTCATACATGTAGAACTCATTTAGAGCTGGCTTCTCTGAAGACAAGTAGCAAAAAAGCGCTTGTGTTTTCAAGAAGAAAACAGGTTGTCATGTTTCTAAAAAATTTAGAAACAATTACTGCTTTCTTTCTCAGTCGTGCTGTCCACAGAAATGCTGTAGGGATTCATATGTCTGCTTTGCAGCCAAGAATAGCAGATAGAGTAGGTGGTAGAAATTTATTTTGCTTAAGTTCATCTATTAGTTTTCGAGTAAAGATGATTTACTCGATAAAAGGTGGTTTCGAGTACTGAACTTGAATCATTTCTTCTCAGAGATGAGAATTAATTTCTTGTAGATTTAGCTAGATATGTTTTCAGGTGTTCTATCTTAAAGTCGTCTTCTCTATCTGAACATTCCTTTGGAGTTTCCAGCCTCTATAAGGACTTTAGTTGATCATAAATGAGATTTATTTACACATTCAGATATGAGCTACATAGGTTTCAGATTTGTTCTGCAGGAAACAATAATCTGGATAATCTGGAGACTTAATGTAGTGTTATCACAGAATCCTTACCCTTAATCAGAGTTACTATCAATAATTAAGACCTCATGCTTCTGTAGAAGATAGTGGCATAAACATATTTAGTGCAGTTTATAATCTGCTTGGTGCATTGTGAATTTGAGCATGCTCAGTAAATGATCCTGTCTTCTCTTAAATTCACTTTTCAGTTGGTCTCACTGTGTTTTACTAATCTTTGCATGTGCATGACCTGAAGGATATAGAGAAGTCCTGAGCTGCAGAGAACTTTCTGTAAGAGACAGGAAGTGGGAAAGAAGTTGATAAAGATACTGCATTTTATTCTTAACTTGTTTTAAGACATTGTTAAAACTTGGCATATTGGATAAGACATCATTCCACATGCTTTACTTCAGTAGAAATGGATTGAATACCATTTACTTCTGTAACGTTAGCAATGTATAATTACATGCTTGAGCAAACTGAATTCTCCAGCTGATATTATCTGGGAGAAGGCCAAGAAATAGAGTTTTTGCATATGTGTGTGCATATATAGGAGTCTGATATTTTACTGATGCTGATTTCACAGAAAATTTCAGCTAGAAAATTCCCTCTCCTTAATATCGTTTTGTTGTCAAACAATACAGTGAAAGACTGATCACTTCTAGTTACTTTTCAATCTCCAGGTATAGGAAGGATAAACAGACTAAAAGTAATTTTAAAAAGGTGTATAAAACCCCTTCTTCAGATCAGTGTTTTGACCCAATAAGTAGAAAAAGAGAAGATTTCAAGAATGTCTCAGTAATACCATACAAGGTATTCTGCTTGCAGGGGGTTGCAGCTGTGGTTACGTGCACTGGTTTGGGTCAGTGGAGAACATTGTGTCTGTGGCTACAGCATTAATTGTGGATCCTCACAAATAGTGAATTATTTGATGACAGATTTATTCTGATAAGGAACAGTGAGAGTCCAGAGCACACACTGTGGTGCAATTGATAGGATTTCTGTTGGGTTGCACTCTCTTTCTCTTTTGGCCTTGCAGTAGAAGAGTACTTGGAAGGGAGTAGATCTTTAATTTTTGTTTCTTTTTAAAATTTTCTTATTGGTCTGTTGGAACAAAAAAAAAAACAAACAAAAAAAAAAAAAAAAAAAAACCAAAAAAACTTTATTACATCATCCTGGTTTTCCTCCCAGGGTATGTAAGGACTCAAAACAATTTTTTATTGTTTCTGAGGGCAGTTTTTAGAGGAAAGATAACATGTATTAGGGAAAGAGTGTGTTTCCTGAATTACTTTATTCTCATTGAGAACTTCTGCAGGCATGTGGATCTGACTAGACAGAAATTCTCTTGCATGTTGTCTTCTCTATCTTCTTCGTTTTCTAGCACTGCTGAGCAGCCTGGGCACCTGTATGGTTGCAGCATCCAAAAGCTTGCAACAAACCCCTCTCAGTCTTGTGTTTAAATTCTGTGGATAAAATGCCACTTTTTCAGTGTGACTATTCTACTTCACTGTCCCTGAATAGGAACGTGCCATTACACGGCAATGTTTTAACGTAAACTTTGAAAACTGCTAACGTTCTGGTAATGATAAAAGCCTCAGCTGTGTTATCTGCAGATACCTTCTTGCAAGTTACACATCTTTCTTCTGAATAAGAAGGGCTCGAGAGGGGAATTCAGCTGCTACTCTTGCTGCTTGTAACCAAACACACTTTCATCCGGCTTTGCATGATGATATAAAGAAATGTAAATGTTGGTTAACTGAAAAAGTGGTCTTGCTTTTGGTATGTTCCAGTTTTGTCTTATTTTTATTGGCATCTTTGATTATGTGTGGGAAGGTTGGAGGGGGGAATGGAGATGTGGTGGATTGTGAATTAAATATATCAGTGTTTAGTGTAAGAAAACCCACTTATGTGTCAAGAAGAACATGAAGGCTAGTTCAGCCAGACAGGGCGGGCAGGAGAAGGGGAAAGTATATGTATTTTAAATACAGACACAGAGATTGAAGCAAGTAATGCACCCTACACTTTAATAATAGCCCTTGAAACCTAAGAAGCTTATTTTTCTAAGGCTAAAGGCTTTACCAAGGAAGGAAGACTGCAGTAACATGAATTATATTAGCTTTCTGCTTCTGGGAGGCTAATGAGTCAAATAGAGCTACCTAAAACTATACAATATAATCTCTCATTGCATTGTTCTCAGAGTGGTCTGATTTGGAGATGCCTAAACATCTTCTGTCAGCTGATACACAGTAATGGTAATTCCAAGGCAAAGTTTCCTGAAAAGAAGTAGGAAATTTAAAGCAGAGTAATAAAACCTCCCTGTAAAATTTTGCATTACTCTTCAGAAATGTGGAATTGGATCAGGCTGTATTCCTGCTACACTGAGGCAGCAACAACACAGAGTGCTCTGTCTGTTCTGCTTGCTGTAATGTCAAATGTTCCTGATCTAGCAGTCAGCAGGAAAGGATGAGCTTCCACTCAAATGTTAGAATCTCCTAAATACTTGTCACCACATTTTTCCCATTCCACAAAAAAGATTTAAGCGTGTTTGCTTGGCAGCAAGCTGGGTTGGACAGTATAACAGCTGGAGCAGCACAGTGACTTCAACTGGGATAGATCCATAGGTTTTGCAGATTTCTTGCAAATAATCAGGCCCTACAGCTTTTATAAAGAAAAGTAAAATTCTTATAACCTGAAAGCCTCTATTTTTGCTAATACACTTAAAATTTATGCCTTTTTCTCACTGAAATAAGATATATGGAGCAAAAACTCTAGCTCCATTTTCAGTTTTGAAATGTGAATGCTGCTTAGTTTTCTACTGAAACAATAACTTCCTCTGAGCACTTGGAGCTTAGAAAAAGTACTTGAATAAGATTTATTAAAAAAAAGTGTGTGCAGCCCTAATCATATAATAGGCCTGAAAACAAGGATTTAAGAAATAAGATTGACAGGTTTTTATTTTCTCTTTGATACTCCAGTCAAAAGCACAGTGCCTATTCTGCAACAGGAAGTGTTGCAGAGATTAAATTTCTCTTAATACAAGAGTTGTTTGGTTTGGGGGTTTTTTCTCTGAAAAATCTAGATGCTGAGATAAAAGTAATATGGTGGAAGCACCCAGACTGGAAATGCAGGGAGGATTGATTGAGTTTTGGAGGAGAGAGAAATAGAAATTGGGTTAAGCTTCAATAGAAAGTGTAGTCACATTGTTTGAAATGCCAGCTACGTACAACAGAAGCCTTCTACCTCTGTTGGAACATTGTGAACGTTGCTGGCCTAGGAAGTAGCCTAATTCTGAAGCTTACTGAGCACTCACCAGAACTTACTCTGCCTGGAAGAGATCCTGAACATGCTTAGATCTTGCCTTAAAATAGGATAAACATCTGAAAGAGTGGTAGCTTCGTTTTGTTTCTTTTATAACCACATGTAGGAGGAGAATGGGTAACAGTATGTGCAGACAGAACTAAAACAAATCAACCAAATGGGGCCTAATTCTACTTGTTTTACAGGCAAAGTTCGGGACCGATATTCTGACTGATAAAAGTGATGTAGATGAAAGGCAAATCAAGGTCAGGGAGCACTTATTGTTAGACTCTGTTATTTTGCTAAACACAGCAGGAAAATTACTGGCTGAGAATCAAAAAAAAATGTAAGCAAGTGGAATCCAGGTGCATTAGCAAATGAGGTTTGTTTTGACGTTCTGTGCATACCTTTGTCTTCATGTAACTTAAATGCATACTGTGTGTTCTGATTGGTTTGGGGTTTTTTGGTTCCTTCTTTTTTTCCTAATAGATACTGAAGGTGTAAATGGAAGAGAAGAGTCTGTGAACCTCAATGATGCTGATGAAGGATTTTCATCAGGAGCTTCCCTCAGCAGCCAGCCCGCTGGGACCAAACCTGTATCCTCTGTCTCGCAGAAGGGCAGCTTAAGGAAAACAGCAAGTGGGCGTTCTTCTAAGGAGAAAGAAACCTCTTCTGCAGCAAAATCTAACGAGAGCCCCCGAGATTCAGTAGCTCGAAAGCAGTACACGCACCAATCCACTGACCTGGCTGGAGACACAGTCGAGATGACACCTACTAAGAAACACCTCAGCCTGCCTGCTGGGCAGGTGGTGCCAAAAGCCAACAGCTTGAGCCTGATCAGGACCGCCAGTGCTTCCTCCAGTAAATCATTTGACTATGTGAACGGCAGTCAAGCAGGCTCCAGTGTTGGAGCTGGTACAGAGGGTTTTTCCAGTCTAGCAGCTGGCAACACCAATCGGTTTTCAACTATCAGCCTACAGGAGGACCGACTAGGCCAAGCTGGGGAAGGTAAAGATCTCCTTACCCCAGGAGCTCCCCTGACCAAGCAGTCTCGATCTCCAAGTTTTAATATGCAGCTGATATCCCAGGTGTAACTTTGACTCCCTTCCTTAGTACTCCCTCTTTCCCCTTAATCCCCTGCAAGTTCATCCTTAGGCAAAACATGAACCATCATCCCACAGTGTGAAAATACTGACTGTTGTGATCTCGTTTGAGTTGGTTTAGCTATCATACTGTATTACTGAAACAGCAATAATTCTTCCCTCACCTTCATCCTCCTTCCCCCTTGTAAACATGGTTGTGAAGCAGTATATAATGTACTGTATGCCTTTTTCCATGCCTTCCTTTCTCCTTGGGTGATGTGCAATCCATCGTAGGCTGATCAGTCCCATTTCAACACTGTGAGACTGGAGACACCGGCGGAAATGGTGAATGTGATCCCTATGAGATGATGCTTTGGCTTTGTTAAGAAATAGAAACGGGTTTGTTTTCTCGGTCTACAGTACTGCAAAGTCTACTGGATCATGACTTTTCTTTCTCAGAACCAGGAGTGCCTCAGAGATTCTAGTGTGACTTTGGACCTCTCTGAGTCTGTGCAGTCAATTCTGGGGAGGGGATTGTCATTGCTGCTCCTGGCTGCCTACAGCACTTTTTTCATAAAAATGAGGGTAGTTTTTTCCTGACTGCCCCCAGTCTCTCATCCTCTCAGCTTTTGATGTTCAGCAACTGAGACGTGTATTAACAAGCTGTTTTCCCTCGGAGAGAGGATTCTAAGTCGATAATGTAGGTTACAATGCACTTCTAATGGCGTTGTAGCCATTTGTAATGTTACATGTCTTCCCCTCCAGGACACAGGGTCATTCTGCATTTAGACTAAAATTTACACATCACCATGCTGTTAGAGCAACTTGGTTTGTAAATGGGAGGGAAACACTACTTTCCCAGGAAATAATGGCTAGCTCTGCTCCATTGTTGTTGTTTTTGTTGTGAGGTGCTGATCACTGAATTGAAAGGTGTATTCGGGTAAAGAGTATTTCTCAGGCTGCTTTCTTTGGTATCGTGGCTGTTGGGACACCCCCACCCCTTTCAGCTGCTTTCTCAATGTCCCTGAATTAAATCCTGGTGTCATTTGAGGAATCCTGCAGTCCAGACAGACCAGACTCTCAAGGTGCTGTCTCAGGGATAGAGACAATAGTTTGCTAGAAACACTGAAGCTTCAGTGTGAAATGCTTTTCTAGCAACGCTGTTTGTGCAAAGGGGTACCGACAGTCCTTTTCTCCCCGGAAGGATCACACTTCATTGCCTTGGTATATGTAATCTGTTGAGGTTTTTTAACTCTTTATTTTAGTGGATTGACCCTCCTCTAGAAAATTCAGAACTCGTGCCATTGAGCCAAGCCTTGAATGTATATGACTGGTGTATGGGCACTGGCTGGTACTTATGCCAGAGGACACTGCTTAGAAGCACATTTCTGGTTACGTGGGAGAATGTTTGTCATTCCCTCTCCATCTCTCTGTATCTCTCTTTGGATTGATGGAGAGAAAAGGGGAAAGCTCGTTCTCTATGCTTGAGTCATGTATGATACCCTGGAAGTTTACAAATTGTAAACCTGCAGGAAGGTTATGTTTTTTATGTGGGCACTTTGGTTTCACTGTCACTGTGAAGGATAAACGTAAGCAGTTAAAAACAGCAGGCTGTCTTTGAATGTCTTTTGGGCTTTGGGGGTTTTTGGGGTTGGTTTTTGTTTGTTTGTTTTGGGGTTTTTTTGTGGGTTTGTTTTTTTTTTCTTTTGACTCTTTATTTCAAATAGAATTTTTCTTTTCAAATTTGCATTTTCATTTAAATATTTGAAGATTTTTTTATGGTTTGGCAAGTCACTTTGGTAGCCTAGTCTTCATATCATACGTTCATAAAGCGAATTAAATGGCATCTGGACTGATGCAGAAATTCAGTTAGAGTAAATAGACTCATCAGAAAGAAAGAAAACCTTACAGTTTCTAAACGGAAGTTTAATCTTTAAGGACACGAGTCACACACAGATGGAACTAAGGTGAAGTGAGTTAAGCTGCAAGGCTTACGTTTCTGTAAAAATGTCAAAAGCTGTATATGGTTAAACTCTTCTTTATAAAATAAAGTTTTGGTAGTGGGGACAGTTTGTAAGTCATGGCTGAAAGTACAAAGTTTATACTTTGTGGAGACCACCAAAAAGGAAATTGCTTAACTCTTTTGGAAAGAAAAGGTCAAGAGCTTCGGATTATTTTCTAAGAGTTACTTAATTTTAGTATTTTAAAAAGTAGAGTCGTTCATTAGGAAGGCTCTCTGCTGTCTACTGTTTGCATTGTAAGCATTCCTCCAGAAGTTTTAGGACACTTAAATTGGCATCAGATCAAATATTACAGTGTTTTTTAACAAATATTCTTTTGTGGGGGGGTCCCACACTATAAAACTATTTTAGGAAAGTGAGAGAGCTTTAGTGACTTCAGATTGGGAAGTCAGTTTGAGTTGGCTAAAACTTAAGTCAGACTTTCTTATCTTTCAAGGTATTTTTACAGTTTTCATTTTGATGTGCCTTTTGTTACAGTTTCATTCACTGTATTTTGGTTTGTTCTTGTGTATATATACCTATTCCATATCAGTCTTTTTAAAATGAGTTCAAGTTTATCCCTGTAAAAAAATTAATTTTTGCTCTATGCTAATGCGGTACATCTATAACTTCTCAAAATTACCCTTTTAGTGCAGTCATTGGAGCTTGTTTTGTTGTTTTCCAGCCACCAAGTACTGTTTAATATTTCTCTTACAAATTGAGTCATCACTGATATCTACAAAGCAGCTGTAGTAACAGGCTGTGCAGTGCTGTGTGTCACGTTTATCATTAATGCTTCTAAATGTGTCTCAAACTACGCTAAGGTGTGTCAAGATTGGAGAAAAAATTCACACACTTCAGTTCAGTACACTTCAAAGTACTGTGGCAGAAATAAAATTAGAAGTGTCTGGGATATGGGTGGAGGGAAAAATCTGCTGGCTTTCTGATTACATATGCTAAATACTAAACAACGTACAAAACACACTGAAATTTTCTGACACCCGTGACAAATGTTTAGACTTAAATCAAACCTCTTCATCCTAAATTCACTCTGCTGTGTCTTCTTTTGGAACATTTGGTACTTGACACGAGGCACTAGGTTTAGATTTCTGCAGTATTTCAGTGCAGCTGCAGCATTATAAAAGAAGGACAAGAAGCAGAAAACTGAATTTTTTATTTTTCCCCCCTCTGCGTGCATGAATGCACATACATATAATTCTGAGGTGAGAAAGTGTGGATACTATATTCTGATGTATATGTACACTCAAGTAGGAAAAAATTAAATATTCTTTGATACACATCACAGAATGCTGCCATTTTGAAACTAATTTCTGCTGGGCTTTGTAATTTTAAGAAAATACAGAATATTGGTATTGTGAACTCCAGCTTGATTACCCTTTTCAGGGATTTATTGTGAGCAGATTTTTTTGGAAGATGAACCGTTATTTCATCCTGCAGACAGCAAAGTGATGAAGTAACAATACCTATTAAAATCAATGTTGCAAGATGACAGTTTAAATTGCTGTATTATCTCGTTAGTTTTCAATTGGAGACTCCCATGTCACTGTCCATTTTAAATGCAGATTTCTTTGAACACCTTTCTAATGTGAATTTGGAGAAGTTTTTTTAACAGCATACTTCGTTCTGTAATGCTGAACATCATGTTGCATCCAGTAAGCATTAGATCTAGTATTTGTAGCTCACAATTCAACTATTTGTGTTGGTCTTAAATACAACATTTGCAGCGTACTCCTGCTAGCTTTAACATAACTACAGTCATCAAAATAGTGAGGAAAAAAATGTTTTCTGACAAAGTATTTATTTGCACTATTTATGAATACTGGAGTTTACTGGGACAGGGTTTTTTCTCACCATGTGAGGTTTACTTGTGTGTGAGTAGGTACATACATTTGTCACGTGTTGACAATCAATTGCCTCAACTGTGTGTATACTGTATGTAAATAGGAACATATTTTTCAAGATTAAAGGGGGAAACCTGCATCTCAGTGGTGGTAAAGCTACTCTGCAGCAGGGTGACCCCAACTCTAACCGCTTTTTGTCTTCAGATACTATGTGGTTTGTTTTACTTCTTTAATGAAGATTATTAGTGTTCTGGGAAAACTTTAGCTCCAGGGAAATTTTCCTCAATATTTAATGTACAACATGTTCAGAGAATTATATTTTGAAAAATTAATTTTGGAATAGATAATTCTATGCTATGGCTGTATTTTAACCTAAGAGTTTGAACTTGTCCTATTTAATCATGAACCAATGGCTATCTTTTTTAAATGTCCAGCATTTTAACTTCAGTCACAAACCAGAAATTTTTGTTTATCTTGGCTTACAAATTTAAATTAATTTGAAGACTAAGAGAGAATCAAGGATAACTTTTTGAAGAAAATCATAAAACTCAAGCTGTACAGTGTAGGTACTGTGCTCATAATCCTGGAGGAGATATAGCAAATATAATGGAATATGTTTGAATTAAATGTATGTACTACACAAAAAACAATACTTCCGATATTAGCAGATCTAATAATCTCATCCTTAAATTCTGAAATTCTCTCATTGCCAAAGATATTGCTACCTTGGCACATTAAATATAGCATTAAAGCCACTAGCTGGGTCTCATTTATGACAACCACTTATAATGTCCATCAGAAGAATACACACGGCCCTTTTATTTCAATTTCTTGTTTAGGATAATTGCAGAGCTAAAATTGCAAAGTACCATTCCTTTTCAAGCATGGTAAGCAAAGAAGCCAGATCCTCTGTACTTGCATTGCATTCTTGATTTAGATAAGGTTTTTTGCAATATTTTATATTCTTTTCAGTATTTTAAATGCTATTTGTTTCTAGCATATGGGCCTTAGTCTCTCTTGATTATTTTTTTAGGGTTTTGGATAAACTTTGCTGTGGAAAGCTTTTCTGTAGGTGATTCAGGGTAACAGATCATGACGTGGGTGTTGTGTTAGCGAATAAATGCATCAGTCTGACAAAATTCTCATGTTTTTACCAACCAAAGAGCCAAAATACTTGCTCCTTCCACAGTGATGGAAGATGACGGTGGGCTGTGAGCAACGTGGCTTGTTCCTGAAAACAGCAGTAAGTGGATTTTGCAAGACTGATACGTATGAAGTTTTTCACATAGTCACTATGAAATTTTATTTGAAATAAATCTTAGATCAAGATTTTTTAAAATGTAACAGCCATTTCAGATAAACTTGCCTAGTAGGTTTGTCAGGTGTCAAGGCGTGTGACATTAAAAGTTTAGAAGCAAGCTGAAGAAGTCTGAGTACCTTACAACTTCAAGAAAAGGATTTAGGAAACATCTGTCCCATGTTGTTTGTCTGTATGCAAGATTTAATGGAAAAAAAAATTGTTTCCATTCTTTTATTTGTTTTTCTCTAGGCTGTACCTCTCCCTGATTTTTTTTAACTGTGTTCATTAGATTTTACCGAAGGTAGGAACCAAATGAATTTAAAATGGGTCCATAAATTATCCCTTCTATCGTAAAGGATTAATAAGCTGTTCCTGCAAGGAGCTATTGATGGGAACAGATGTATATTAAAACTTTGTACAGTAAAACGTTGCCCTACATTTTAGCTTGTGCATGATGAGCAAAGTGATGAGATAAGGATTTATTGACCAATAAAAAGCTCACATGGTTGTGAGCTCCTAGTGTTTAAGAGTTGGTAAGATGTAAGCAGTTTTAGAGAAAACTGTCTTTGCATTCTGATACCAACTTTCTTAAGCAATTTACATTTTGACTCTTGACAGGATGATTAATCACATGTTAAAATATGGTTTAGAATTCACATGGGTTTTGATTTCAGAGGGTAAAATGGTCAGGGAAGATTTCTGTTTATGAGTATCTCCTGGTAAAGTGTCTCTATGGTGCTTTGTCATGGTAGCTTCCTTACAAATCAGTAGTGAATCCTATGTGTTTGAGTCCTCATCCTCCCCAGAACTGATCACAAACAGAAAAAAAAACAGTGTGTGTGAAGCAACCTTTTACCTTTTGTTCTGAAACAAGTACTTGGGCGTGACAGAAATACTGGCTATTGACACTGTTCTTTCTGTTCAGGCAGTTATTGTTGTTGTGCTAGACTTTCATGTTATTAGTTTATGAAAAATGCAAGTAGTAAAAACTTCGTGGCTTCAAGTATACAGTAGATGTGAGTTAACAATCACTCAGGATAAACCAACATGTCAAAGTATTAATAGATTCCTAGTATTGGGGTGTCTGTGTGTGTCAGTGTGTCAGTGTTCAATGATTACTTTGAAAAAAGACAGTTTGATTACATTAATAACAATAATAATGATGATGATTACTTTGTTACTGTTTTCTCGCAGATAGTGCATACTTTAGGGATGGATATTACTAGCTGGTTATTTATGGACAAATACCATATAATTAAATAAAACTGAGTCATTTAACATTTTTTTCATATCGAAGATTCCAGGAAAAAGCTAATAAAGATTTTTAATAATTAAATCAGCTACTCTTAATACATTCTAGATTTACTATGGTAGCTTTTATTTGCTATTAAAAACCCCAACAACTTAATTGAGGTACCCCATGCTGCATTTTTTAAATTTGTAATTCCTGTACTTGACAATGAATCTTTTGATCTGTTTTTGCCCTTGTAAGAATACAGAATTTGCTGTGTTTTACTAGCAAAAGGAACATTCTGCAAGGGTTAAAAGATTATTTTCATACTTTTTTCTGTCATACCAGGTTTGTTTCTCTGAACTAGGGTTTCTGAGGATTTTTACTACTTTAGCGTTCTGTAATCTCATAGAAGGAGCATAAGCAGCACGTAGCCCACTGCTTGTGGACAGACAGGCAAGGCAAAGGACATGGATTGGTGGTGTGAGCCCCTCTTCACCAGGATAGCCCTGCGTGCCTGGTGTGAACCCCAGGCGTTCGAGATTCGGTACTGGTGAAGGACTAAACCAAACAGGTTTTTAATAACCGTGACCTCTGCTGTATGACGTCCTTTAACCTGGGACCAAGGAAAATCTTCATTCTTAGTCCTGAAGAAGGCACGTATTGAAGATCATGTTATTGGTGCATGTAAGCCATTATCTTAACTGTCTTACTGAGCTGGTTCATGCTGTTGACTTGTTGAAATGTGAAATGTAGTTACTATTGACTTTGTAAATACCTGCCAGAGAAGAAATATAATTATTTTAAATCATTGTAAATAGAGATGTATAAAACTCGACACACTCTGCAATGCAGAAAAAAAAATTATATATATATTTAAAAATATATAAAGATGTTAAATAAATATCGTGCTGTTTCCGAACAGAAATGATTACGCTGTGAATTGCTGGTTTTTACAAGTGTGGTTTGCGGTAGTGGGGGTGGGACGGGCCGTGAGGGGGGAGCTGCCCCGAGGGACGCGGAGCTGGGAAGGGAGCTCAGCCCGGGCCCGGGGCCGCGGCGAGGGCCGTGCCTGAGGGCGGGCGGTTCCGTGCGGGGCTCCCCGCGGCGAGGGCCGTGCCTGAGGGCGGGCGGTTCCGTGCGGGGCTCCCCGCGGCGAGGGCCGTGCCTGAGGGCGGGCGGTTCCGTGCGGGGGTGCCCGGGGGCGGGAACGGAGCTCCCCCCCGCTCTCCCTCCCCTCAGCACGCCGGGCATGCGCCCCGGGGCCGCGCCTCCCTGGCGGCGGAAGTCCCGCCCCGGCGCAGGAGCGGGCGGCGGGTTGGCCTGGAACGGGTCGCTGACGGCGCGGCCGCCGCTGTGGGGGCGGGTCGGTCCGAGCGCTGGCTCCATGTGAGCGCCGTTCCGCCTCCTGCTGCCGCGGCCGGCGGCGCGGGGAGCGGGCGGGACCCCGGTCCTGGCCCCGGTCCCGGCCCCGGTCCGCCGGAGCGGAGCCGTGAGGGGTGAGGTGAGGTGAGGCGAGGCGAGGCGGGGCCGCCATGAGCCGCATCGAGGGGTCGAGCGGCGGCCGCCGCCGCGTCCTGCAGGTGAAGTTCGTGCCCGACGACGAGGTCCTGAAGCACATCGTCGACGACACAGGTACAGCCGGCCCCGGGCAGCGCCCAGCCCGGCCCCGCCCGCCGCTCCCAGGGCGCTGGGAGGAGGGTCTGAGCAGCCGCCGCGGCCCCCGGGAACGGGGCTCTGCAGCACCCGGGTCGGGCTGCGGCCTCCTCCAGGGTCGTTCTCCCGCGACCGCCCCCTCCGCGGCTGGTCTCTGTCCCGCCCGGCACAGGATGGGCGGAGCGAGGCTCCACGTGGTGGGTGCTGTAGGAGAGTTTTGCTGCAGTTTTGACTACTTTTAAGGTTTGGAACCTCTGTGGAGATGCTTCAGACTTGCCAGTACAAGGCACGGAGCATTCGGATCAGACACTGCTGGTCCTGCTTTGAGCAGAAGGTCAGACACACGGTTTCCAGAGGGGTCTCAGCCTAAATTCTCCCACGAGTGTTCTGACAGCTTACAGGCAAGGTATTTTCCACTTGCTCCCCTTCACCATGAAAGATGGGGCACGGCAAGTACCGTCCCCTTTGCATGCAGTGCAGTAACGTTTGAGTCACTGTCATTTTGCCCCAACTGTGGAAGGTGGTGTGTGCTGAAATGGGTGTCTTGTCTTTACGGACTGCAGAGGCCAGCATTTCTGGAGAAGAAGGGACTAATGGTTGTAGGGTCAGCTGCTGACCAGGTCTTTTTTAAGCGGGACATCTCAGCGTTGTATTTGTTATAACAGGAACTTGGTCTCTGAGTTGGGTGGCTGCAAACTACTGCAATAGAAATCATGAAATAGCAGGAGGTTAAAGCTTTTATTGCAATCCTAGGTAACAAAGTACGGAAGGACAAGCCTCAGCCGAGTATCAATTTGAAGAGATTTGTGAAGAAGCTTCAGAATATTTCAGATGATGAAGCTCAGGAGATCCTAGAAGAGAAGAACTATATTGCTACTCTTGGAATATGTGCCCAAGGTATTAACAGGAGAAAACGTAACACATCTGTGACTCCCGGAGATTCTTGCAGTGTCAGGGCTGTACAATGCCGGTGAAATTGCTTTTGAGGGCTGAACCAGCTCTGGCTGTGGTTGTGGAGAGGCAGAGGAGAAGATTATGATTCTAGGATTTTATTATGATATTTATTTTATAACACCTGCAGTATAAAGAGAGACAAATAGTGAAATGTTGCATTCCATATTTCTTGGGTTGGGAATTTTATCAGTGCTTTTGAAATAGCTGCAAGTAACATTTCTTCTCACAGATCCAGTGGGAAATGGCACAAGTGTAAGCGGTGGTGAAGTTTATTCATTTCAGACTCCCAAACGCTCCAGTAAAATGGCAGAGCTGGGTATGTTTTGCTCTTTTTTCTTTCAGTCTTGCTGTCTGTGGTCTTTTTATGAGTATTCTTGCTTAAGTGATTTGTCACTTCTTTTTATTCAAAAGCTATAATTGCAGTATTTCAGTAGCTTTTATAGGTCTTTGAATCAGTCTTCATCAGAAACAAAAGCACAGGGGTAGGACAAAGCAACAACATGATGGGGGTAAGAAATACAGATAATAAACACATAAGAAAATGTAGAAGTTTCTTAATGCTGGGAAAAAGTGCATATAAATGCCAAAGGATGGCAGGTTTTTTATTAGTATAAGTTAGAAGAATATGAGAATATCCTCAGTATGTAGCAGAGAATCAAGAAAAGGCTGTGTTAGCTTTGTGTGTCAGAGGATTTCTACTCAAAGTGTCTGAGCGTGCTTGCTTGGCTAACTGTGGACTTCGAGTCCACAGTCCTGCAGAAAGTGGCAGTTCTGGAGAGAGTGGACTCTTGGTTCAGATAAGATGCTTGAGGCCTGTTGTCACTGTTTCTTCTGACTTGAAGAGTCTTTGTATGTCCAGCACCTCTGAACCTCATTAGGGTTTAGCTGTCACAGCTACTGATACATCCTCCAAAGGATGATCTGAGGGAGAGGGATCATCCTACTGTATCGCTATACAGAAACAGGTTTTGGTGCCTGTTTAGCTTCTGCTGTGTCTTGGGAAATTGTGTGTTCCTTATCTCACACTCCTTCTGCAGCGGGGTAGGTTTCACTGGTGCTCTCTCCTGGAGCCACCTCAGTTTGAAAACGGAAGTCACACAGTGCTGGGCTGTTTGTCACAGTGTTGTTCCAGGCTGTTGGGCCTGCAATGGTAGGGACTGCTTGCAGGTTATGGGGACCTTTCACATGCAGATCAGTCATTTGACTTCAGCTTGTAGTGGTAAGTAGTACAAAGAGGTAGATAGTTCCTCCTGGGCAACTGATGTGTTTGCTATACCCAATGCTTTACTGTGTCCAGCTGAGCAGCTTTAAAGGGCTAAGTGAGCATGACCAATCATCTCATTTGAAGGCATGGTCTCCCAGGCAGCAAAATGTGCTCTGCCATTGCCTCAGCCATACTTCTAAATTTAATTAACTGAGGAGTTCAGTCTTTGAAAATCTTTGCTGAGGATTAAATTCACCATTGGGGTTAGAAAAAAAAAAAAGGAAGTATCTGGTGCGCTTCCTGCAACAGCTAAGGAATTAATACTTGGAGAGCATTTCAGGTATATGGCTCCATGTCTGACTACCCAGATCTGGAAGTTTTGTACCTGACATGTGAAACTTCTTCCTTTTCCCATTTCCTACAGCGTCTGAATTAGCCCACACACCAGAACAGAGAGTGACACCTGATCACTCCAAGGGCCTTGAGAAGAGAGCAAAGACTCCTCAAAGTAGCAGTAAGTCCTATGATGGTTTGGACAACTGAAGCTGAGTGAATGGCGGTTATGTTTCTATTGGGGTGGTGCAGTGAATGCTTGAGTGCCAGCTTCTGTCATGCTTGAATGTTCTAATCAGCCTAACACCACAGGCTGAACTGTTTGCTGTGCATGGCCTCTGCTTCACCTGGGTGTCAGATTTCTTCTGCCCTGCTGCTCTAGAGGAAACAGGAGCTTTTTTCTTATCTGTTGCTGTGACATTTAACGACTTCCTCTGCATTCAATGGAAATACTTGCACTTGAGAGAGTTATGAGTTGGGTTGATGTGTTAAGCATCAACTAGGTAGGAGTGTGTGGGTGTTCATGTGTAAATTCACACTTTATTATATAATTTTTAAGGGACAAATACAGGTGGGAGAAATCAGTGCATGTCAGCACTGGCAAGAGCACATGCCTTTGTACTCAGAAATGGAGTCTGATGTGCTTAGGGAGAAAACATTACCTCATCTTTCTGCCTCTTCCCTCCTGCCAATGGCCTCCCAAGGCTGTGACCAGAATTAAAAGCTACCTTCTGTGGTAATAACATTGACTGTTGTGTGAGTCTACACAGGCAGGCAGCTGGAACAACCACAGACTCATGGCTGGAACACGAAGAGTAAATTTATTTCCGTTACCTCACTAACGATAGGGCCCCTGAGGCAACACCTGGGCAGAGGCACAGGAGTGGAGATGGTGTAGGTACCAAGTGGAGATTCAGGCCAAGTTTGGTCCAGTGCTAGAGGATCACCAGCCTGCTGTTTACACTGGTCTATCAATGGCTTCACACGTGCGCATAGTTTACCACCGTGCTGTGATTTTCACTGTGTTTTGATCTTCTCTGTGCCAATACTGGGAGCTTGAGCCTCCTCATTCACCCTCCCGTTAGGGTGTCTTCAGGTCTAGCAAGCACCTGTGTTGTCTAGACACGGATGTTCTACTTCTCAAAGCATACAGAGAGCCACCAGCAATAGACATGGTATATATGTGTTTCTACATTGCCACTTGAGTCTTTGCTATCCCCAGCTGCAGGGTCACTTGAGCATATTTGTAAGTCTCTTTATCAGTCTTCCACTTTTAACCCATTCCTCCCAACAATTGTCTTTGTTCTCTCCTTGCCTACCTGTGAGGAGCTGGAGTCAGGGAGCTGACATTCTGGTGCAGTGTACCTTTGAATAGTGCATGCCTGGTTTTCTACTGGGTCACCTTGTGCCACTGTGGAAAATATGCGACACTCTGTACAATGCTGTTTCTTGTTTTTCAGAGCATTCAAGTTCAAACAAAGAGCAGCTGAGGGTGAGTGATGACTTTAGCTTGCTTGGATTTTGGTTGGGGTTTTTTTCCCCCTACTTTTAAAACTTGAGGTGGCCAGTCAGTACAGTTCTGGAAGGGAAAGACCTTGAAAAGCCTAATCCAACCACACAGGAGTAACTGAAATGAGAACCAGAGCTACCATTAATGAGGACTACAGGGCTTGGAGTCAGTAGGCAAATAGTGGGTTTGACAGCTTAATTACCATGGGTGGAAACTATTTCCTTGCACCACACAGGTGAGGATGCTAGACAGTCCCTTAATACACAGTTAAACTCATAGCTTTGCAGTTTCTCGCTAGAAGAAGAAAAAGCTTTAATTGTAAGGAGTGCTGTTAGAACAGGAGTTCGAGAACTGTGGTGCTGTTCAGTTTCTTACTTTAGCATTGGTTTATAAATTGGGATAATGGGGGGATGTAACTTAATCTTGTGTTTTGTGATGCTACGGAGAGATACTGTCCAGAACTGCCAGTTGTGGTTCTAGAGTGGAGCAGTTGGCTTTCTAAAATGGTCATACACAACTTTTCTGGCATAAGGTTCCAGGATGAGATGTGCCTGAAAAAGAGATGCTGTTGTGGGAGACTGTATTCAGTCCATGATGATTTCACATCCACTCTGTGAGGATCAGCAAAAGTGTTTCCTAAGTGTTGCAGACTTGATCCAGTGTCCAAGTCAGGCACGTGCTTTACACGTATGTAAGGAAGATGTGCCACTACAACCTGATGAGCGCAGGCAGCTTGGGTTCCCTGTGCTGTCCTTCTGGGCTTAGTATGCTGAGTGATAGTTGTTTTCATAGAGGGACTTCAAAAGACTTTGAGTAGACAGCATGGTGTGGACAATGACTGCTGTGGGGATCGAAGCATTTCCAGTTTGTCATTGCTTCGATTTGACTCTTCCTGAGGGACCAAGATTGGCATCTTGTTTGGAGATTCACAGTTTTCTACCCTCCATCTCAACGCATGAGTTGAAAGAACTAAGCCCCTTTTGGAACCGGATCCTGCCTCCCTCTGAAGGCAAAACAAGAACTCTCCATACTTACTGCTTCTGCTTTCCCAGTTTCACGTGGGCTGAAAAAGTTTGGAAATGTAACCTGATTCTACTCTTTGCTTGGCAGAGGGCTGTTTAGAGGAGACCTACGTTTCTTCTTCTAATGGACGTTTTTTCTTTGCAGAGTAAAAAGAAAGAATTTGTGTCTACCACACCTTACAGACTCAGAAAGAGGCTAGCAGGTAAGGATCAGCTTTGGCAGTCAGCTCCCACAGCCAGTGAGGCGTTGTGTTCAGGAGAGAGTGTTTTTCCTGTGAGCTTCTGCCTGTAGTAGCAGTGGGACTGAAGCAATCAGCTTCATCCTGCAGAGAGTGTAAAAGTGTCCTTTTATTGACCTTTTCCCTACAACTGATAATTACTAAGGTAAGGGGTGGAAAGGTTAGAAGCACCAAGTTGCCAAACTTCAGTAACATGATCAAAAGAGACAATCTTCCAGTAATCTAACCTGTGCTGACACTTAAATGTGGAACAGTTGCTTGAACCAGTCCATAAAACTTTTTGATGGCTGGGATATCCACGATAAAGTATTCCAATGGTTATTCCAACAACTGGTTGGCTATATGTGCTCTGAGTGAATGCAGAGGAGAGTTTAGTACATGGTGTTTCATCTTCTGTTTCTTTTGTGTTGAGAGACCAAGACTGAGCCAGATTTCATCTGTGCTCTTCAATCAACACTGCTAACTGAGGTATTTTAAAAAACCTTTTTACAGAGTGTGACTTAGAAGATACTCAGCTTGGGTGATTGGCATTTGGGAAAACTGATGCAGAGATTCTAAGAGAAATAGGGAATTCCATTGTCCATTTTTAGTCACTTTTTGTGGTAGGATTATGTTTCTTAGTTGGTATCGAGGAGCAAACTTTACTTAACAATACTTTGTAATGCTAGAACTGGGAAACAAACGACCATGTGTGTTTGCAGTTCTCTTAAGCATTGATTTTACCTTTCTGTGAAACATAATTAGGATTCAAATGCTTGAAAAATATATCAAGAATACGAGAGTGTGAGATGGTGCAAAATGGGTTACATGTAAGAAGTCATTCCTAGCTTTTAATCTTAAATTTGTGCTCTAGCTCCAGATTCCTATTTAGAAAGTGAGAGTGAATATTCTGCTTCCTGCTCAGAGGAGGAGGATGAAGAAGATCAGCAAGAAGTCAGCACTGTTTTATCAGGTCAAAAGACCCCAGCAAAAACTAAGGCTGCACCTACACATCTTCCCAGAAACAGCCTAGCCAAAAAAAATAAGGAGGAAAAGATGGTGAGTGTGCAGAAATTCTGAGCTAGCAAACATGAAGGGATGTGTAGTGACAATACACTGTTAGTGACCACACCTGACTGTGGGGAAGGGCTGCTGGACTCATTTCAAATCAAACCAGCTGGGTTGGCTTTTGCTGTACTTTTGAGCAATCCCTGTTGGACAGGCATCACGTGAGCCTGTGGGCTAATCCCCTCTGTATCCTTAGCAGCTTCAGAAGGAGAAGTTCTAAGATGTCCATGAAGCAGGAGACCTTGTATTGATAAAGGATGAAGGAATTGATTCCTGTAGCACCAAAAGAAGCACACATTACTGTTCTGGATTGGTGTTTAGCCTAATTGTCTTATTTTCTTCTGGCACCAGGGATCCTCAAACTGCCTTAGAATTAAGTGTCATGTTCTCTCTCTCAGAATCTCTTTTCTGTCTTGTCTTCAGGAAAGAACTATCTGACTAGGTTGGCATTGGCAGAATGCTACTATAAAAGCCATTTTTGCAAATATTTTCTGTCCTTCTCATCATCCTTGCGCTATGTCTCATACTGGCCATCTTAGGGAGAGGGAGGAGGAGTGTGGCTGATATGGCTGTCCTTTTACAGAGCAACCTGGTGGAAGAATACTTTGAAGCTCACAGTAGTTCCAAAGTGCTCACTTCAGACCGAACGCTGCAGAAGTTGCAGAAAAGGAGATTGAATCAGGTACGTTCACAGTGAATAACACAACTCTCAGAGCTTTTGATTTCTTTGATGAAGATTTCCCTCATCAGAATTTCCTAATGTCGCTATTTTCACTTTATTTTTGCTCATTACATGCTGGGTGGTAACACTGATTTAGGTGGCTTTTTAAGCAGAATGTTCCCTACTGCTGCTCTGAGCAGGAGCAGTGCCCAGTTGTTGGAATCTGAGACAGGAGGGAAAATGCAGGCATTTTTGGGTGAGCTGCAGTTACCAGAAGAGGTTAAAGTTTGCTTTTAGGAAAGGGGAAGAGGGAGAAGCACAACTGTAGAGACCTGTTTTTAAAATTATCACCAAAACAGTGTTTTGTCAATGAAATGATATGGGGAATTACAAGCTGTCTTGACTGTGTATGTGTAGAGGAAATAAAGAGAGCTCTTTTAATCTGAACACTACTGGATCAAGCCACTTGCAGGACTGGAACAGCACAAAGTGTTGTCACCTAGTTTGTTAGATTTACTCTGTTCCTTTCCAGTTTCTAGTAGACAGGAATCTTCTGATTGTGGTGACCGAGTTACTTTATTTTTCTAATTTCTGTAAGACAGTTCAGAGCAAGGAGTTGTACTCTGCATGGACAGGTGCCAGGGAAGTGTGTAGAATATTTGGAGTTCTTGTGTCCATGACTGCTTTTTGTACCCATTTATGTTGTAAAAGATGGCATGTATGCAGACTGCCTGATGCCTGCTGTTGTCTGGAATTGCTGCCCAGAGAAACACCTGGATTCTTAACAAGTTCCTTCGTAACATCTCTGGAAGGAAATCAAGGCTTTCAGTGTTAAATCTACTGCTGGCTTCAAAGCAATCGAAGGCTTAGCAGTTCTGTCTCTCAGTGCTTTGTTTGTCTGATACCTTGCAGCTGCCTTTCCAGTGTAAACTATCTTCTATTGCAAGGGAGTGGAAAGCAAAGCTCTTAAAATTGAAGAGAAAGGAAGGCCAGTGTAGATTTGATGCCACTTATGCTGCCATTCTGATTAAACATCAGCATCACAGCACGCCTTTAAAGCTGAATTATTCCTTTGGTTCTTCATGCTTTTGAAATAATACTTTTTCTACGTTTAGCTGTTATTTCCTTTCTGCTGATGGGTTTTTAAACATTCTCTTGAAGTGACAAACACCTGAACCTTTGCTAAGCATGTTGCTGAGCCTTTGCTGCCGTGAGCAGGGATGTGATATTGGCACCTTCCTGGTGCAGTGCTCGGGGCTGTGTAAGCTCTGAGCGGGCCTGTTATTTCTGTAGTGGTTTTCCCATACTTGGCAGAACGACAAAAAACACAGTGTGATATCTGCTCTTGTCCTACTCTGGCTGTCATTTCCCATAATGAGTTTACTTAATCTCTGCTTTGTGTCTCCAGTAGCAAAACTGTGCTTAGGGGGTCTTCGTGGAAAACAGAAACAACCACAAATTGAATGCACTGACAATGAAAACTATTCTCCCTAGCTAGAAAAAGCACACTAGAGGGTGTTTTTAAGGACTCCAGATATGCCTTGTTTTCTTCTCTGCTTTGAATGACTGTCATCTCTTTCTCAACTCAGGAAACACTGCGTGAGCTTCTGAAAAAAGCTCCCGTTGCCTATGCTGCTGAAATTAAAGAACTTAACCAGCAACATGAATCCTTGTTTTCCAAGTGGATGCTGCAATTACAGTAAGTATTCAATGAGAATCACTGAATAAGCCTAGTAAAAAGGCACTGCCAGTAAACTTACATTTAGTCAAAGACATCCTGTGGATGAATTAAGGAGCGATTTTTTTTCATATGTTTGATTGCTTAAATTTAAAAGTAGGTGACATTAATGTAGTTCAATACTTCCTGCAGACCAACTCATATCTAACTCCTTAAACTGAATGCCTGAAGTGCAGTGATGTTGCATTCTACCTAGCTATTTGCCTGTGCCTCTCTAAACCAATCTAGAGGGCATTCACAAACAGGGAACATGAATAATGAGAAAACAGGGAAAATTAATGATGAGAAAAAGTGTCCTTTGTGAGGAATTGGTTTTGGTTACAGCAGCAAGCTGGTAGTGAGTAGCCCACCACCAATTTCTTCAGTGTGTTGCTATCTCCAGTGGTGTAACAGTTAACTTTGAATGCCTGCAGTACTTAATTATCTGGGCACAAAGAAACCTTAATGCTTTTGGAAATATTGGCACTATAAATTTTATTTGGGTTTGTGTGTATCTTCATGGTAAGGAGAAAAGAGTGAACATTCAGAAAAGCAAACGGAACTATAGAGAGCTGTGAGATTCTGAAGTGCCTTAGAAAAGGCAAACCACCAGCTCTGAAGTTAAGTGCTGAGGCTGGAGCCAGTACTGATGAGGAGAGAGCCCCTTGGAAGCTTTGCTAGGGAGTGGAGTGTAATGAAATCTGTGGTCCATGGGGAGTGCCAAAGCGTATGAAAAAGACATAAGCTGTGAAAATTGGAGAGCTGCAAGAGGAGGAGTTCTCTGTGACTCAGAGGTCTGGGGAAATGGTTAGAGATCAACATGGCAGGGCAGAAGGAACAAATCCTTAGGTGACACTGAAGGGAGCGACAGCTGTTGAACACCTTACCTTTGGCCAGTGCTTTTTGAGTAACCTGATAAAGTTCTGTCTGGTCAAGATGATGCTTTTCCTGCTTCTGAAAACTAAATAAAGCTTTGTGATTCCTGTGATGACCTACCCTTAAGAGTAAGGAATCCCTTAAGATTCAAAAATGATCATTGGTCAAAAGGAACAACAAAAATCAGAGGGTCCACAAACAATCAGAGAATTAGTAAATTATTCACATGGCATAGAAATTGGTATGTTAGTCCCTGATCTACTATATAGGCATATGGTTCTGGATAAAGGGGTAGGGTAGAAGGGAAAAGAGAAATTAAAGAGGTTAATTAAACAGGGAGATTAAAGAATTAAAGAAAAAAAGAGACAAAAAGAAAAAGGAAAAGAGAGAGAAAAAGGGATCACCTGCCTTTGCTCTGGCATCAACGCAGCTCATGGGATGCTGATCTTGGTCTCAGCACTGATCCACCTGATAAGCAACAGTCCAGCTATGCCAGTCTGGCTGAGGAGATGTCCACCTGGGCTTGAGGGGTACCTCTTCATGGATGGGTTTGTCACTTTTTATGCTAATTAGTTATGCACAGTCAGTTCTTTTAGGCCTTTCTGGAAATGGGTCAGAGGGCTTCAGGGGTCTTCTGTAGTTCCAGTCCCACCTTATAGTCCACATCCACTTCCTGCCAATCATTCCTGCACTTGCACTGTACTGTCTTGTGGTTCTTTGTCACAGAAAGTGCTGCCCTATCTCCACTTAGCCCCCCTTTTCCAGCAAAACTGGTTCTTCCTCATGGTGTGTTAATACCAATGATCCTTCGTTATTACCAACAATTCTTGTCTGTTATTATTAACAGTCCTTGGAACTGAGACCTGAAAATGATTTCACTTTGGACCACTTCTTATAGGGTCACAAGAGACTGGGCTTCAATCACAGTGATTTTTTGCATCCTGGTCGCAATTCGAGTCAGTAACTTTCTTTGAAGGTTCAGCAACCGAAATATTGTTCCACTGCTGCTTGTTAAAAAACACATGCTCATTATACACCACTAGTTCCTGGGAACAGACAGCGTTTCTGATAAGTTGGAGAGGGGTTTAGTCCAGGTGCAATTTGGCAAGACCAAGGCCTAATGAGCATTTCTCAGATCGCAGTGAAGCCTAAGAGAGGAGTGGATGTGACTCAAGTCAGTTTTTCTGGGACTTTACAATTAGCTACCATATTCTCTTTGTGCTTTCCTGCCTCTTTTTCTGTGGGACAATTAGGATAAGAAATAGAATAGAGTAATTTTGCTTTGAAATAGTGCCTGTGGATCAGAGTGGAAAATCAGCGTGAACGCTTGCTTTTCTGCTTGTAATTGCTGTGACCTGTGAGAAACATTTAATATAACCACTGGTGATTAGATAATGTGAGTGCTGGTTACATTTGTAACCTGAAGTTTTAGATGTCCTATCACGTTCTTAGTCAATACCATTTTCTTACATAGATGTTTTGCTGAATTTGTGAGCCTCTAGGCTGCTAAAATGCTTCTTTTAGTAGGATGCACATACCACATTTCAGATTCCTTGCAGCTCATCTTATTGATCAGCTGTCAGCTGAAGGGTAGCCTGTAGTTGACAAAACATGAAAGTTTTTAGAGGCAAGATTGCAATGGATCATTTTGCTTAATAAATGTGTGAACCTAAAAGACAGACTTGTACTTTTTTGATTCTGTGTATTTTGCTCACTTTTCTGCAGCTTGGGTTTCAATATCGTGCTGTATGGACTGGGCTCAAAGCGTGATTTGTTGGAGAAGTTTCGTACATCTCTGCTCCAGGATTCTGTTCACCTTGTGGTTAATGGATACTTCCCCAGCATCACCGTGAGATCTGTAAGTGTGGGAAAAGCTTATGGCTTATGTAGTCATCCTGTTTTACAGATACCTCTTAAGTCTTTCAATGTAAAATATTAAGGAAGCCTGCTGCATCCTATAGCAGCAACCTCTTGGATGAAGAGCAGTTCCTCTCTCTCTTAAAGAAATTATCCCATGCGTTTTCCAAGGAATTGCAGTTATTCCTATCATTATTAGATACTCATCACTCTGAAGCCTTATTTTATGTCACTGTTTTGAAAAGGGGTAGAAATTTTTGTTCGTTTGTTTGTTTTGACTGTTTTGGGGATTTGATGGTAAAAATCGGATTACCTCCCACATGAGAGTGAAGGGCAGTTTCATATTTTCTGCACTTCAGTGCCAGATCCCTTCATAAGGGACTCCTGTTTCCTTTTTCAGATTCTCAACTCCATCACAGAGGAGGTATTGGACCATATAGGAACCTTCCGCAGCCCCCTTGACCAACTTGAATTCATTACTAAAAGGTTTAAAGAAGGTAAAATGACTAATTTGTACATTCAAATATTAGAGTTTACTTGCTGTTAGGAGAGCATTTCTTTCCTCATAGTTTTTATATGTGCAGTTACAGTTTCTTAGTGTATTATAACTGGTATACTCCCTTGCTTGTAATTTATGCAACATACATGAAAACATATGCACCAGAAATATATTTGTGCATGATCCCAAGCTGTTGCCTCGGTCAGTGCTTTACATCAGGACAGCAGTGTGAAACAAGCACCTTAGAATTGGTTTCAGAAGGAAAATTAAACATATCCCCACATGGAATGCTTGCTTGAAATACCTTTGAACATCTCTTTTACTGCTTTTATATACGTTATATACATTGCCATGGAATCTTATTTGTGCGTGGCATTGGTGTTTCAGTGTTTACATTTTGTTTTGCATCATTACCCATCATTTCTGATGGGACTAAGTGAAAAGACTGCTGAACAGCAGTGTGCACCTTGATGTACATAAATCAAGTACACTATAGCTGATCTGACTGGGAGTCTGAGGAACCCTTGGTTTTCACTGGCAGACAAGTATGTATTCATTTGCACAAGTTCCAGAATTGTTTCTGGACTGAGGAAGTGGCTGTTCCTAGGGATAAATACAGCAGCAAGAAGCTATCTGGAAATTTTAACATCTACCATTTGCATTATCCAAGCTAGGTCTTTGTAACTTTCTTTCAGGACTCAGTGGGAAAAATTTCCAATGAAGTTAATATGTTTTGTATCTAACCCTTAATAGAAAATGCATTTTCATTGTGTGAGGAGGAGCTTAAAGATCTTAGCCATGTAACTCAAAAGCAGCTGAACAAACTGTGCTCAGGCTTCTATTCTAAAATATAATTTAATGACCTTGAGTTGCAAAGAGATGCATAGCTAAAAGGGCAATTCACGGTAAAGCTGTGAGCAAGTGAAAAGTGGATTATAACAGAAGAGTTTAAACTGAAAAAAAAGAACTGTAGCTGTAATGACAACTGTGATACAGTGAATTGAGAAAAAGCCTTTTAGGTGCTCAGAGAAACAAAGTGTGGGATCGAAGTAAGCTGTACAAGGAAAGTGATTTGATATTGGAGTGATGTATATGGAGCCTGATGGAGTAGACTTGTCCTGTGCTGCACTGGGAATGGGAAACCAGCTTGTGTGCAGTTTCTTTGATTGGTTCTCTGCTGTTTTTTCTGACCTTGCAGATTCATCTTTAGAGCTCTATGTCCTCATTCATAACCTGGACAGCCAGATGTTGAGAGGAGAAAGAAGTCAGCAGATCCTTGCACAGCTATCCTCTCTGCCCACTGTTTACCTCATTGCCTCTATTGATCACATCAATGCTCCTCTCAGTGAGTTCCCTGATCTAGCAAAGAGAAGAATCTGCATTCTGCTTTGGGGCTGCTGTTTCATAAGCTCTTGCATTTACTGTTGATGTGTTGAACAGTTCTGTTGATGTGTGTATAATCCCCACTATGGTGGTACTGAACCAAAACTGTATAAAGATACTGAGAAATAATACTGATCATAATATACAAATAGACTCCAAGTGTCTGGCACCCTCTGATTTTAGGGACTTACTGAGCTGGAAATAGGATGTTATGTCTGTCACTGCAACTAAACACTTCTGCTTATCGGCCAGTGTTGTGGGCAGAACAGAAGCTTCAGACAAAGTTGATTAGAGAAGCCCTCCCATGGAGCCATGAGGTGCAGAAAGGACATACCCCTGCTTTCTAAACTCCTCCTCAGAGAGGAGTCTGGGTGTGGCTGTGTGCAATCTCAGTGCCACACTCAGTAGGTGGTTTATATCTAAAGGATTATGTGGGTGTAACTGAACTTTGTCTTGCGGGATTAAGGATGGCAAACCAAATACATAAATAAATGTGGGTTTTTAAATTGATTAAGATGATGATTAGACTAAAAGATCTTAATTATTTACTACAGAGTATAGGTGGCTATAACTACTAGTACAGTGCACTATTTTTGAAGGAATATTGAAGAACTTATATTAAAGCTAGCGAAACCAATTATTAAGTAGAGATTGATGTTACTTACCCATACCAACAACTGTGGGCAAATCTCTTTAGCTCAGCCTTCAGAAGTAACTTTGAGGGGCATTCCCACTCAAGGAAGGAATCTGCACACACTCTGAGAAGGGCATTGTTCAAACTGGTTTACCCTCACTCTGGGCAGAGCATCCAGCTACAGCTGTTTGCACACTGTTGACTCTGGAAGGATTTACAGTCTATGAAACTGGTATGGAAAAGAGATGATTGCAGATGTTTTGTTGAAGAGAATTTGTCTTGCTGGAACAGGAAGTGTCTGGGTGTGTGTACTGTGAACTTCACAAGTGTACATAGTTTCCTCAATCCTACAGTAGAACTATGTACATTTTAATATTGCTTATTTAACACCTTAGAAAAGATAAATCTCCCAATTTTGTCTGCTTGCTCTTTTCTCTCTGTCTAGTGTGGGATCAAGCAAAACTGAGTCTTTATAACTGGCTTTGGTATGAAACAACCACATTTAGTCCTTACGTGGAAGAAACATCTTACGAGAACTCCCTTTTAGTACAACAGTCTGGATCTTTGGCTCTGAGCTCCCTCACACATGTCCTGTGCAGTCTCACTCCCAATGCCAGGTAAGACACTCCTACACTTCGTAGTAGCACTTGCTGAGGACACAGTCCTTACAATCTGTGTTCTCTGACAACACTGTTGAAGATGAAGATGGTAGGACCCGGGTTCCAGTTGACTGGTTACTTTAAATGAACAGCATTTGGATAGCATCATCCAGTGATGAGAATCACAACTAGGTCTTTGTGCATAAGGGCAAATCAGTTCATATTTTCTAAAGGTGGGGGTTTGGGTTGTTTTTCAATTACTGTTTTTATTTTGATTTTCTCCTTTCCTCCTTTCAATTAGGGGGATATTCAGATTGCTTGCTCAGTACCAGCTGGAGAAAAAGGACAACCCATCTTACCCAGGTAAGTACCCACCTTTGCTCATCTGTTTGGGGTGTTGCCATTCACAGCAGCTCTGGCTTTTGGTTTGCAGGTTACACCTCCAGCAACAGAAGTGCTGCAACAGTCAGCTCGGTGTCTTTTTAAGTGGCACTGTGTCTGACTCTGACAGGAAATCAATAGACTGGCTAGTTCTGAAGGATCTGCTCTTACTGTTGTCTGCTTTGTTTCTTAGACGTGACTGAGACCATTCATGGGGGGCTGTGGAGTTAAAAAAAATTAAAATTAAGTCTATAAATTTGCATAACTTGCACTTAAAGGATCAGGGAAAGATAGGAGAATTTTTCCCATGCTGCTTCTTTATAGGTGACTTCTGATGTATCCCTGCTTTCTAGGATGCATGTAGAATATTCTGTTGCTATCTGTAATAGGTGCTGCAGTGGATATGAATAACCATGTTAATGGTAAAGAAAGTAAGATAGATGAGTTGGAAATTAGAGAGATTAACCATGTCGGAAAGTGCATTTAAAGTGCTGTTAAAATTCCATTAGGCAACAGCTGACTGGAATGTTAATTCAGCTGTTTTCTAATAATTACTGAAATATTAGCTTGGCTGTAAACTTGAAAGAGGTGATGTTACTGTAGCCACTGTGGTCTGAGCCAAAGCAAGACCTTCAGGCAGAGAAAATACATGGTGTTAGACCTGGAATATTCTGACAATCTTACCACTTTCATTTCTTGTTCTTGCCTTTTTCTGTCTCCAGGGCTGTCTTTCCAAGACTTCTACCAGCAGTGTCGGGAGGCTTTCCTTGTGAACAGTGACCTGACACTCAGGGCACAGCTGACGGAATTCAGGGACCACAAGCTCATCCGGACCAAGCGGGTGGGTTGAGGGAAGAATATAATTCTGGATATTCAGCCACTTTAAATGAAAAAGATGCTTAATTGCTACTGATGCTATATTGTTTTCAATACCTAGGAACTAGCAAGGGACTGAAATTCTGTAATTGCAGCTCTTTCCATGCCTCCAATTTGTCAACACCCTTTACATGCTGTAAAAATGCAGCGTGCTTTGGTTACTCAGCAACCTACGTGTCTCCTCTTCTTGCAGACTGTGAGAAGTAATGGACTGTGGAACCTGCCAGTCTGCTGCCAATAGTTGCCTCTATTTTCACAAGAAAAGAATGCAGACTCATCCTAATAATGAGGCAGTATAGCAGTACTAGATATGGTGAGCTGTGTAGTGTCAGACTAGCACAACACGCTAGAAGATTTCTCACATGCTGACTTTTCTCAGTATTTGTGCATTTCCAGCATTGCTCCAGTGAAATATTTCTGGTTTTTAGTAAAGTAATCCTTCAGAATGCTGGCCAGCTCTTGTCCAGAATGCAGATAAATGGTAGCATAGCAGTGCTGTCTGGTGGCTTGCCTTGCCCTGTACACTGGTGTTAACAGAATGTGTATGTATGTCTGTTCTCAGGGAGCTGATGGTGTGGAATACTTACTGATTCCTGTGGATGACAGTACCTTGACCAACTTCTTAGAGAATCAGGATGAAGATGTGTAATGCCTCTGTGTTCTCAAAGCGTCTGTGGCAAATGCTCTCAAGGGCTGCTGGAGAGGGGCCAATACTCAGATCTCTCTTCCTCCAACCCCACAGCTGCTGGACTGAAAAGTGTTAGTTGTGATGAGACATGCTGGTTGTTCAGGTGGTTTGGAATGATGACTTCTGTAAGCACAGCATCTCCTGTGCTGTAGTTGCATTTGTCTGCTTTGTCTCAGCTCAGATAATGCTGCCTTCATATCTGTGCAGCCAGCCTTACAGTCAGAAAAGCAGACTCGGTAAGACTGTGCCTTCTGCTCTTCTACCTCACCACACATGAGGGTTTGATTGGAGCAATGTAGTTGGGAAGGGCAAATCACAGGATGGTCACGGCTTTAGTTTGTACTAGTGGTGCAGCTTTTCTCAACTGAGTGCTTTCCAGTACTCCTTTACTATTTAGACAAAACTAGCTCCCAGTGTACAAAGAAGCCAAGATTTAAAATGCTAGGAGACCTGCCTCGGCTGTGTGAGGAAAGGAGAAGACTAGTGGGTTTGGGATGCTCTGGGTAACTTTATAAATTCTGGCAATAGAACTGAAGGACTTGCCCCAAACCTGCATCCTTTTATAAGAAGATTTAGATAATCAAAATTGCGATAGACTCAAGTCATTACCTGCTATTTTCCAAGGTGCAATCCAGAAATATGAAAAGGCTGTAAAGCTTTTTTCTTTATTTTTTTAATGCTTGATTGTATATTTGTATTTTTTACATCAGGAGTGTCTGTTGATCCTGAAGGAGGCCTTAAATGCCACTTATAATCTCTCCCTTTTTTTAAGCCCTTAGAGGTTGGGAGACTGCTGAAGTTGGACATCTTCACTGTTTTTTTTTTCTCAGTTATGTGGGAGGAAGCTCTGTAGTTCCATCAACTGTATTCTGCCAGCCAGACTTCAGGGATTCTGTATGTTTAACATCTGGTAGCTTTGTTACAGCTCAGTGTTGTAATAGTTCAGACTATCAAATAAAGTACTTTATTAATTTTCATTATCTTGTCTTCCACAATCTTTTTATGATATAGGAAGACAGAGATTCTTGTGGCAATTGTGCAAAAACCTCATTTTCATTACTATGTCAAATATCTGAGCAAATCCTCATACAGTGTGCAGGAGCTTTCAAACTAGTTAGTAAAAACACATTGTTTCTTACAAGGTATCAAAATTAAGAATGCTTTGCCTGCCTTTTAATACCACTATATAGGTTTTGAAGAGAACCAAAACATCCCATGGAGTAATAGTTACCTCATCTGCCTCTCACTTACAGGAGCAACAGGGATGTACAGCCAGACTTCTGTTTGTATTAGAAGAAAACAGTGCATCTGCTTATCCCACTTTTAACTTGATTCTTCACATAGCTCCTTATTAGCTCTGCTGGAGAGAGTGATGGGAAAACTGGTATATGCCAGAAATACTTTCAAGCTTCTTCCTCCAGAAAGTTTTTCAACTAACATTCTCTACTGGTAGCACTTGCATCTGCATTTTACAGGCTGCAATTTCAAAACTTTGCAAAAAGCATCAGATCCTGCTTATCACTACTTAGGCTACTGTCACAGTCACTAAAAGCCACTAAACTGGGATCGAGGCGTTGTGACTTTCCCAAGTCCTGTAAGTTGGGTGTAGAGTTCAAGGACAAGAACTCTGCCACTTGAAGAGATTTCTTGGACAAACTGTAAACTGTAGCTAAGCACCAACCACATCCTATTTTTCAGTCCTTTGATTCTCTCCACAGTTCCTGTGAAATTCAGGATTTCATTTGTATTCCGAGTGCACGTGGAAGACACCACCTAACGTGTTTCCAGACAGCCATACCATGGTGCATTTTCCATGCAATTCTATCTGGTTTTCTAGATGTGAAATGTACTTTAAGGAAGTGCTATAATCATCCTGAGTTCAGAATTACCCACAGTTTTGGGACACTACCAGATGCCCATCCAGGCCAGGAGAAGGACTGCAGGAGGTACCACACAGCTGCTAAGGAGGGGGTTAAGTTTGTATCCGTTTTTGGCTGCTGTAATTCTGTGATGCAAGCTAGAGAAAGGTACCTTGAGTTAACTCCTGTGAGTTTTGTGTTAAAAGTGTTTTATCTGATTCCATGCTGTTTCTGGACAGTTAGCCCATCTCTGTGTTCGTTTTAGGTCTCTTGTGTTGTGTATGTACGAAGGCAGTGGCATTTTAATGTCCTCTCTAGCAACACAGAACCACGGGGAATGAAGACATTTCTTCCCCCTTCGGGTTCCTCAGCTGAGATGTCTGCATGGTACTGGTAAGCATGATAGCCTTTATATAGCCTTGGTAGCTTCAGATAATACCAGAGTCATCTCTTTCCACTTAAATGGAACTGGAACAATAACTGCAGTTATGCAGTAGAGACATTGCTTGATAAGCCAGTTTTATTAACTTAAAAGGATGGTGCCAAGATCTTTACCAATTTGTAATTGAAATATTTACCATCTGTAGATGCTATGATATGCAACTGTGAGATTTTTTTCCCTTAAAAAAACCCAAACAACAAAAAATTAACTTGAAAAATTAAACTCAAGCTTTATCAGTGGTGAAAAACGACTGGTTCAGTTTTAGCAATCCTGTAACTAAGAGCCACAATTACAGAAACTGTTTCTAAAAGAAAATAACAAAGGCACATTAAATTAATATACAGTTTTGTTAAGGAATTGAATTTTAACCTTCCAAAGCTTTTTTTGAGAGTCCCTCTATTAATGCAGCCTTTGAGCTGCATTAGTGGTAGATTGTGCAATTGAATACTAGTACCAAAAACCTGGTTTGTGTTCTGTATTTGCATCTGAGTGGTGCCTTAATAAAACTGTTAACTGAAACGGGTGATCCACACCCTCTCATTAAGTACTTTTTCTGAAATTTATTAGCTAAAATATCAGTGACTTACACTGGCATCATTTGACATAACTGAAGCGGGGTACAACTGTGTAAGCTTAAATCTGAAGATAAGTCAGGTTTTACATAATTTACCCAAACCAATCCTAGAATATCATGGTTATCGAACATATCTAAATAAGAGCAAGAAGTAACAGTAAATTTATTCAAGTGCAGCCCAGTAAGTGAGTGAACAAACCTTTGGTAGCCCAAAACAAGTATTTATTTTTCTGACATGACAAAATATACCCCAAACTTTGAGGGACCGTACAGTACAATCATTCTGCACTGAACCACTTGAAAACACCTCCATTAAGCTTGCAGCTGGACAGGTCTGTGCAAGATACCATGATTGACTGAATTCTCTCTCTATTATGTTTTTTCCCCTATGCCACCTGGAGAGGATCTCTGTCCTTCTCTGACACAACGATGTTGACTTTGTTCTGTAGGTGGGTCGCTAGCACGTCATGCAGCTCTGACAAGAAGCCTCGCTCAGTGTTACTGTGCTCGCACAGAATAACACTTATCCCCTTGGCAACTGCATCCAGAACGTCGTGGTGGGACATCTCTCCTGCCATTTTGAGAAAGAAATGTCATGTAGATCATTAATAGTACAGCTTAGGTAATATAAAAATGGAATATAATGTAGTCTACAGAATCTGCAAAGACTCTGTAGAGTCTTTGCAGATTCTGTAGACTACATTATATTCCATTTTCTGTTGGGGAATTCTGTAGGGAATGCCACACAGCCATGTGATCCACATAATCTCTATTTATTCTTCTATCATTCCAATAACTGATTGTTTCTCAATTATAAATAATAGGTAACTCTTTCTGGCCAAATCTTTCAACAACCGGTCAACTCCTTTATTTTTCCCCTGGCTTGTTTGTTTGTTGGTTTGTTTGTTTCTAGTGACTATTTTTATAAAGATAATGAAACAGCAACATCATTTTTTACCTGTAAGGTAGAGGTCAGCTTCTGTTCCCTTCAGGACACTGCTCCCAGAACCAGCACACAGAGCAGCTTTCTTCACTGGCGATTCTGCAGGACACAAGGTGCCACAGTTAAAACTCTGTCCAGCCCTCATGTCTGTACTGCTTAATTGTTTCACAGTAACTACCTCGATTTTATGGTCAATGTAAGTTTGTTGGAGTTGGTGACACATCTGTCAGTTTGAAGAGTCATGGGCTTATAACATCTCTGATAATGCAGCACAATCCTCTGTGATGGGTAGATTCTTTTCTTCAAGGGTAGGAAAGTTTTCAGAACACCACAGCACAGAGGCTGGTTGATGGCTAGTTTTCTCCTAGTGAGGTCTTATTTAGTTAGGTTTCTGAACTGATTAATAGGCTGCTACACTTTCCGGGACTTCATGTTCCACCATCATTAGTTTCCCAACTAATGGTGCCATTAAGGCAGCATTTTCCCTCTGAGATATACTGGTTGCTAACTTTTAGCTCTCACAAGGCCAGTCTTAATGCAAGCTGAAAACTGCTCCATGCCATTAAAAATTTGTCCATTTGCTGTGATAGCTATTACATGTGACAGGAAATTTAATTCTTCATATACATTCATACACAACACAGTTTTCAAATTCTGTTAAGGTTTTACAGTATGTTGCCTTGCAATTACTGTTCATTTAAGTGAAGTCATATCACTTCATTCCCACACCATGAGAGGCTTCAGAATATTTTGGGGATTTTTTAGTGCAATTGACAGCAAAGAGGCTTCTAATAAGACTTTTGTCTCCTAAGTTACAAAGAGTTTTCAACAGATTTGCTCTCACAAATTCTAGTAGCTGTGATGCTTGGAGATTAGGATAGGTAGCTGGGATAAGAGGATGCTTGCTCCACAGTTTTCTAATGACTCCAGTGTTTGAGCTGGTTCACCTTTTTGCCTTATCTTTCATCAGAACATGAAGTGTCTTACTATTTTGAGATGGTTTGAAATTAACACTCAGCCACAAGGGGGGAATGTATAATGAAACAGTACACCTCTGTGTCTGATATCCTGGGCAGCAAAACAAATTTTAGTAATTATGTAAATCATGAAATAGCATATCTTGTATTTGATTTGTGCTGTCCCTTCTTCACTGCGTCAACCAGTGTAAAACAGAACTTCCCACAGAAAGTACAGATGAGTTTCTTTCTGTATGGTCGTACTGTCTAAATTTTAAGATGCTGTTTCCTGGCATTGCTTCATAGAGCAGGTTTACTTGGAAGTAAACTTGTTTAAGACAGCAGTATTTGCCATTCACACACACACTCATCCTCCTTATCTTCCTGGAATGGCAGTTCTAAGGGACAGTCTAACTTGCAGGCCTGTTTACCTCGTGTCTTGCCCGTTCCCACGGCTACGCGGACGTGAGGTAATTTTAGGTGGCTTTTGATCCGCTCAATTATGTCTGACAAGGAGACTGGCTCGCTCAGTGTGCACAGACGTCCCATTCCAGTGTGGGGAAGAAGAGGCTGCAAAGAAATTAAAATCACTGTGAGAAAGCTGACCCCAGAAGCTTGCATTGCTTTCCATACTGTACGAAGGTGAGTATCCTGGGCATTCAGGAACGTCTCTGAACTTTACAAAAATATGAGTGATGTCCTCAAATGCAACATACTAATTACACCAGCTATTGGAACTGATTTAATAATTAGCACAGGCCATCTAAATATTTTCATTGTTTTGGAAACCATGTGTCCATGGTTTTATGGCTTCATATCCCCATAAGCCAGTATTTCAGCTCATTGATGGGGTAGCACAGGAAAGCTGTGATGCTGCATTTCAGTGTTTGGGGCATTCAGCTCACACAAGTAATAGATTCACAGGTATTCACAAGTAATTCATGATTTTGTTACCTTTTGTAGCAAGAGAATCTCAGTCTTGTGATAAAGAAGGCTGTTCTGGGACAATAATGCCACCACCTCCAACAGTGCTTTCTGAGAGCAGTTCAAAGTGACTCGTGTTTGCTCCTCACCTTCAACCCTGCGGAAAGATATGCTTGGTGCTTGCTAAGAAACTAGATCAAATTTCAGCATTGTAATTATAAAACAAAGCTATTCTGCCTCAGTTGCTGTTTTACCACTGAGAAAGGAGCAAAGAAGATATTGGAATAGCCTAGCCTAGTTCACTCCCATGTTAAAAACAGATATGGGAATTTAACTCATCTGACCTCATCAAATTTCCTGTTAATACTCCTCTTTACCACCTCTAATCTATGTGATGCCAGAGTTGAGTTGCTGTTACCATTTAGCATGACATAGACTGATCAGAAAGGGACAATTATTCCTTAAGTTTCTAGGTCCGTTGCTGAAAAATATAGCAGCAATGCACAGAGTAACAAAGTGGTTTGTTGGCGAGGAGGCTCTGAGACGACCTATGAGATCTAAAATATGTCTGATTTATTAGGATAGCTCAGGGTTTTTATAGCATTTGTATACAAGGTTTTGCGACAAGAAGCACATAATTGGTTACAGATTACTGTCCAGATGTAAACATGCATTATAAATACCTTTATAATTGGTTATTAACAGGTAACAAGGCAATTAATTATTTACTTTATCGAACTCCACCTTCTTCTTGGCACTGATTTCCTTTTGTTCTAGCAAAAAGACCTGCAGCCATCTTGCCACCTATAACTTATAGTACCTATAAAACTATATAAAAGTTTATAAAAGTCTATAAAAGCATAACACAATATAAATTGCTCACACATACATCATGTTCCTCCCACAGTGGTTACAATAGTAAAGTACAGTTGCAGGAGCTTATTGTTTCAAATAGAAAGAGTACAACGCTAGAGAGCAGAGGACATACCTGGCTGGGAAAGTAGTGAGACAAGAGATCTCTTGGATGTCTTTGATTTTGGACAGCACTACTTCCAGATGCTCAGTGTCTGTGCAGAATTCTACCCGGTGAGTGCCCTCAGCTGGACAGCTTGGTGCAGTTGATGGATGCAGTGGGACCGAAGTACAGGCACCTGAGAAAACAGTACAAGACTGCTGTCTTATAAAGCTGGATAAGTATCCTAATACTGATTTAGCACGTATCCTAAAGAGATACAAGAAAAAAATGCAAATTTTACACTCTAATCCATTTTCCCTGACCAAAACTGAGGACATTTTGTCCTGTTGTTTCCATATTTTAAGTCCAAAGAAGTTGATAGATAAATTTATTATCTGTCATTCTTAGTGCCATCAATTTTATCCTAAGAATTGTACAAAACCAAAAATAGTTTCTGCTTTGTATGGCAGACTGGAAAAGACACAGCTGTTATAACCTATGAGTCATAAAAAGATAAAAATCTAAAATAATTTCAGGTAGCTTAAGTCCTTTGCAAACAATGAGCTCTTGTACTTTATAAATTAGAGGTGGTGATTTAAAGTCGGTGGTCTAAGCTTTGCAACCACAGCAGACAATATATATGCTCCACCAGTTCCAACAGTAGTCATCCACCAGTCATGGATTTGAAAATGTCCTCTAGTGTTTATATCTGGTATATATCACCAAGATATATTTCGTAAAATATGTTTAAGGTTCTTAGCAGTACTAGAAAAATATCGGGGGGAAGAAAGAACAATGAAGTCCTGTAAAAGCTTGAAGAAAGAAATGAGGAAAGGTCCTCACATAAAACAGCATATACCAATGAATAATTTTAACCTTTTTTTGGTTTGTTTTTAACAGAATCTCACCGAGTCCCTTTGTTAGCCAGTTATTAACTCCGTGAGGTATGGCATCGTACGCTGTGTGTGGAGAGTAAATCCCGATTCTGTGCTCCAGGGCTCGGACCACCAGCCGTTCCTTCCAGGTCTTCCACGTTACTCGCTTGAGCGGCGCGAATATAGGTGGGTGGTAAGAAAGAATAAGGTCTGCCTTCTTTTGCACAGCCTCTTCCATCACCTCCTCGGTGAGATCGTTAGTAAGAAAAAGGGTGTTCACAGTGTGGGGAGGACTCGGTTCCACCAGCAACCCCACATTGTCCCAGCTTTCCGCCAGAGAGAGGGGCGCGAAGTCATTCAGGGCAGAAACGAGCTCCCTGAGGTCCATGAGGGCGCGGGCGTGCAGGCGGCCCAAAGCACGGATGCGGTGGAGAGGCCGGCGAAGCAGCGCCGTGCCAGGCAGCAGCATGCAGCGACCTCAAAAGAGGGAAACAGGTCGGAACGAGCCTGGGTAAGGCACCGGCCGGAACAGCAGCGGAGAGCGCTCGGGCTCCCGCGGTCACGCCCCGCGCAACCCCGCACCCAAAGCGCGGAGCGGGAGCGTCATTCCCCTTCCCGCGGCAGCAGCGACCCGCAGAGCTCGGCCGTGAGGAGTCCCGTCCTCAGCTGAGGGCAGCGGGCGGCACCGCGCCCATTTCCCGCAGGGCAGGGCTGGCGCTGCGGGGCGGGACCCGCGCTGGCCCCGCCGCTTCCGCCGCGCTCCGGGCGCTGGGGCGGCCCTTGCACAGCGCCGCGTAGGGTGAGTGGCGGCCAAGGGGAGACGAGTCGCTGCCTCCAGACGGTCCGTCTGGATCCAGCCCCGGCAGGTTCAAACATCCTCGCCCGTGGGCGGGAGGGCCGGGGAGGAGCTGGGTGGCGGCGCCTCGTGTGGGCCGGGAAGGAGCCACGGCTCCGGGCTGCGGGTGAGGGGGAGCCGAGCGCAGGTGGGGACGCCGGAGCGGGCTGGTGGCGGCTTCCCCGGGCTCCGCGGGGGTTCACCGGGCAGGGCAGTGGATAGAGGAGAAATCAGCGCGTAAATCTTTTCGATTTCTACACAGATGCGATTCTATTAGCGCCATTCGAAACGCTTTATTTGAAAATGGTACTAAGATTAAGCAAGTCTGGTCCTGTGCTCGGATGCAGGTACCGGGCCATTGCAGCTGCTTACAGCTGTCAGGAGCCGGCTCCAGATCACATTTCCATTAACTACTGCCATGGGGCTTTTATCTGGTAATCTCTGCCATTTACTATTCTGCCAACTCTCATAATATTTGGAAAAACTTGTTGCTTAGTATGAACTTTCATCCTAGGAAAGGGTGTTTAGCACCTTCACCCCTTTTCTCTAAGTGATCTTTTTGTATTAATTTCTAGTTCTTTATATGGTGTGTAGTTGCTTAATGCAAGTAAAACTTATCCACAATCTCTTGAATGGCACTGTAGAACCGTGTGATGTAAAAGCATATAACCACACAAATGTTTTAGAATCAAAAAGAAATTGGGGTTGGCAGGGAAAAAAACTAACAAATTTCCTATGTTTTCTTTGCAGGAAATTGCTGTATATAAAGCTGCCTCAGCTTTTTGATAAGCAGAAATGGTGAGAACAAAAGCGTTTTTTATATATTTTCATTCTTTCATAAATGGTCATCTCTTGGAAGGTGAAAAGCTGCTCTGCATCTCAAAGGATTGCACATATTACTCTTGCAACCGGACTTGTCTATTGCAACCGGACTTGTCTATGCAACCGGACTTGTCTATTGCAACCGGACTTGTCTATCTCGCATTGGCCTTTTTAGCCATCAGCGCGCTTGTAGCAAGCGTGGGTAGAGCCCTTTCAAATCTTCGTTCGCGAAGCCTAGCCATGATGATGATGACTCTGATGCTGTAAAGAATTTGTAATGAAAAGTTTAGGTTTTCATTTCAGACTTATAAAAATATATAGTGAAAAGGAAAACAGGTCCATTTACATCAATCTAAAATATAATTAAACTTTTACTTCAGAGATCCTAAAATTTAATCCTACTGTGGCATATATTTGATAATCTAGTTTGGTTTCTTTTACCACAGAAGCATTACTCAAGTTGCAAGCCCTGCTTCGGTGTATGTAAACTTCTATACTTGCAGACTTTTAAAAGTTTAGCAAATCAGGAAATAGAGATAAGAGTGTACATATCTTAAACTGTACATACACCTTTTATAGCACCTTCATGGACACTGTGGGCAGCTGTCTCCTCTACTTGTATACTTTTGGAGTAGTATGCCAGTATCAACGTCATGCTGATTTTTGTTATTTTTCCTTTGCTCTTATCCCCACAGTAATTGTCTTTGCATTTTCATGGGAGCACTATGATATATGGGGCCTGTAGAGATATATTTGCTTAGGTGACTGGGTAACTGTGGTTTTAAATTTTGTAAAGCTAATTTATAAATTCTTAAGAAAAGTATGTTATTTTGTACATTTGCTTGTTTGTGAAGGCAGATTATATACTGCTGCCATTTAGAACTAGCTTTATCAGCTCAGAGGGCAAGTAACATAACCCTGCAGGCAAGTAACACACATCAGTTGCTCCTCTGTTTATAAATGAGTGAGGTGTGTGCACCACACTATCATCCAAATAGGTATAACCTTTATTCTTCACCTTTACAATCAAGTGACTGAGTAGGTCCAGTTTGCAAGTGAATAATGTATTTCTGGATTGTGACACCATAAAACAGCTTCTGCATTACCATTGCAAGCTTGATTTGTCCTGAACCTGAATGAAACCGAGTGCTTTCTGGTGATTTTACTGGAAATGTGGAAGGTTTGTGACAGTAGCCTTACTTGGCTTATGGCCAAATATTGAAACAGTGGTTATATGCAGTGGGAACTTGCTTATGTTCTTTGTGGGACTGAGAAATAAAACTGAGTCTGTAAGTATTCCATTACTGATTCAATTATTATTTTCTGCTTTTTGCTCAGGCTGTCACACTGCATACTGATGTAGGAGATATTAAAATTGAACTATTCTGTGAGCGTACTCCAAAGACTTGTGAAGTAAGTCAAATAACAGGAGCAGGATTGCCTGGTGTTGAAACAAAGCAGTAGAAATAGAGAAGACTGTAGAGGAGGTAGAGTGGCTTTTGCAATTCATCCTTTCACATACTGGAATACAAACATTTTACGCTGGTACAGTGTCTGTTCCACTCATGGAACTTGTGCATTGTGTCATACTGCCTAGAGTTTTGATGTCTGTTTCTGACTTGGTAAGGTTTAGCTAAGGGACACTTCTCTCGAAGTTCCAGCACCTCCCAAAGTGTCCTCTGCCCCCATGGGGAAATATGGCACAAAGCATGGCATTCCCAAATTTCCACAGGTTTGCTCACACTCTCACAGACTTGATTTTAGTTTAAAAGAGTGAGACTCCCAGTTTGTCAGAGGCCCCAGCTTTTCCTTTCTGCAATAAATTGAAATAATCTATTTTTTTAATGAAAAAGCTGAGGCATCAAGTTACTGATTACAGAATTACATGTGCAAAATAAAAAGCTGAATGGGAGTGACACTTCAGAGCATATCTCAGGCTTTCTGTTTGTTCCTCAAGTCAGAGAACCTTGCACTCTAAGATTTAAAATTCTTTGTATGTGTGACAGTGTCAAAGGAGTTTATTAATTAAGATTTGCTTGTAACTGTTCTGTGGCAACACTTGGTGGAATTCACATAGTCACGATGCAAAGCAGGGGTAAAAGCATTTGGTCTTGCCAATTCTGTCATTTGAGTAAGATGATACTATTTTTCAGTTGTTTGTTAATAGGGTGTGTTTGATTTCCGCAGAATTTCCTGGCTCTTTGTGCTAGTAACTACTACAATGGATGCGTATTTCACCGAAATATAAAGGGCTTCATGGTTCAGACAGGGGATCCATTAGGTAAATTCTTCTGTCTGGGTCTCTCTATAGAAAAATGTACATAAAAATAAAATGCAGAGCTATATAAGCAATTCTAAGTATTCATATTAAACCCAAAATGTAAATAAATAAAAATAAAATATTAAGAATGATTGCATTGGTGATAGAGGTTTTAGTGCTGAGATTAGTTTTCTGTGGTGGGCTTACAGAAGTGCAGTCATTACTCTGGTTTTAAATAACTGTGCATTCTACAAACTTGAGTTTTTCCAGCTGTTTCCACTAAATATGATGGATCTGTTGACTTACCAGCTGTTGAATGTGGAGAAGTTGCTACTCTGCTTATCTGGTTTCTGCTTGAAAGGCTACACTGCCTCTAAAGCATTTGGGGAAAATGTCCCAAACAGTGTCAGCTGTTGGGGAGAAAATCTGATTCATCTCTACGTCTGTTTGTACTCCCACTGAATTTAATCTGAGGATATGTCAGTGTTTTGCTCTGCTACTTAATAGGTGTTCATTACATAGAGTTAACTCTCTGTGCAGTGTCAAGAAACAAGAATTTAATCCCTGCCTCAAACTAATTAGAGCCCATCTAGGGTCTTTGTTTTAAAATGTCGTAACAGAACATAATTCCTGGATTTTTCAGTCTGAAAATCTGATAACCTCTACTGTGGTGCTTCTTTGTCAGGCACTGGGAAAGGAGGTAACAGTATCTGGGGCAAGAAGTTTGAAGATGAGTTCAGTGAATACCTAAAGGTATTTCTTTGCTTTCAATATGCAGTTATGTTTTCATATGAATTTTCTTTACAGGTTGGAGAACAATCAGCATAGTGTTGTACTGTATGAAACACCTCTTTTGTAATTGTAAAACGAAGTATAATCCTGTAGTAAAGGATAGAAAGCTTAATATTATTAAAATAGGAACAGGCATTTCTGTGCTTGGCAAGTTAGGTTTGAGGACTTTCATCACTGAAAAGAGAAGTAAAAAGGATTTGTAACAGCCTTTTTCATGCACTTAAGGCAAAGTAATTTTTTGTTCTAAGAGCAATCTTGAGGAGCTAATTATGAAATGTGATAGAATATATTAGCAATCAAGATTTGTTCTGAATAATGGCATTGAGGCAGAGTTCTGGGTCACAGAGCACTCTGTATGGGTTATTCCTGCTTTCAGAGATGTGTATTCACGCTGCGGTTTCTCCCCGTGTCCAGCACAGTGTCCGTGGGGTAGTTTCAATGGCAAACAATGGCCCGAACACCAACGGATCGCAGTTCTTCATCACTTACGGCAAACAACCGCACCTGGACATGAAGTACACTGTGTTTGGAAAGTAAGGATCCAACTGCTCGCCTCTTTATCAGTGTGTGGGAAGGACCTGACATGCAAATTCAGAAGCTTCTGGTTCTAAGACTCTTTAGAATATTGGATGTGTATGCATGTAAATGTACGCTCTTGCACTGGCACCAGAATTAGTTGCTCCAAAATGCTGCTCCCTTTTTCTTAGTGTTAGGGAATTCAGTGGAAATAGGCATATTAAAAATTACCTCAAAAATGTAGATTTTCTTTCTTTCTTTCTTTCCCTCACCCTCCCCCACTAGTTATTCCCTCTTGGCTTCTCATCCATTCCCGAATGGATGCAGCCTGATTTTAAGCCAACTCCAGAACATCTGGATATACAGTTGTAGGGTTTACTGAGAAGCAAGAATCTGATTTGAGACTGGATCTGGGGATGGGCGTGGTACTGACTTGGTCATGCTTCTGTTTAGGTGGGACTGTTGGTCAGATAAAACTCATGGAACTGACAGTTAATAAAATCAACTGAGGTTGTTGCATCATTATTTTAAAATATGTTTATAAACATTACTGATAAATTATCATCTTCTAAACAAATGTCTAAGATGTTTGAGTCTTTCAGATTGGCTTTTTCTATTTCAGAATCATGGTCATCTTTTATTTGTTGTTAAAGTCTCTAGTGTACAAGTGAATCTGCTGAGAAAATGCAGCCTTATTAAGTGCAGTTAAACATTCAAAAGAAACTGGAATGTGAAAGTACTTATTTTCTACCATTTGTATTGTTTGTAGGCATCTAACTATAGGTGTTCATTTTTGAGTTAGTTTAGAAGTGTGATTGAAAATAGGGGTTTTTAGATGTCTTTTTTTATAAAAAAAGTAGGGAGTCTGTACTCCTGCCTCAGCTGCAGGATCAGCAGAACAGCATATGCAGTCAGTCCCTGCAGGCCCACAATCCACTGCAACGTGCATTTGAAGAGCCTGTGAAAGTGACTGAATGGAACAGCACAATGTGTTTTCTTCTAAGCCTGTTGCTGGAGAAAAAACTGCCAAGATTTTCCAGAACTAGTCGCTTAAACAAAAAAAACATATGAGGTTTTAGTAGAAGAATCTCTTGCCAGTTCTTCAGCCTGAGCAGGAAATCTGTGCCATTAGATTTACAACAGTTGTTAATGATTCTGTCCAGTCTTGTCTTTGAGTCAGAAGGTTAGAAATTATAATCTCAGATTTGGATACTGATTTTCCAGACATAAGATTTCAGTAATTCTGACTGAAGTTCACTAGGGCCAGTATCTTGCTGCTGCCTAAGCCTTGTACTATGTTTGTCAGTCCTGCTTGTCAGGAAATGCAGCCAGGAACTTTATATAGCTGTGGCTGGTATAAAATATAATTCTGTCAGGTCAGCAGGAATTATTTGTACTTTTTTTCAGAATCCATCATGGATGCTTAGTATTTCCTTCCAGAGTACATTATTTGCCACATACAGTGTTTTGGCTGTCCTGTTTGTATCTTTTGCTTGCAGCGTTCTTGCCCTATGATACTTAACTGTAAAGTGTTTTGAGATATCTCAGTTGTGAAATTTAAATCATTATTAGAAGGAGATTTCTAGCACTTCTGTTTTTCTTGCAGAGTTATTGATGGCTTGGAGACCCTGGATGAGCTGGAGAAGCTGCCTGTGAATGAGAAAACCTACCGACCTCTTAATGATGTTCGCATTAAAGATATTACAATCCATGCCAACCCCTTTGCTCTGTAGCCACAGAGGCCTCAACACATTCTTTAGAGACTGGTCAGATCAGCTCCCAGATCACAGGGTTTCAGGAGCCATTAAAAAGGGTTACTTGAGCTGGATCAAGTAAGTTTGCTCACAGAATGCATAATTTTCAGGAGCTGTGACATTGTTTTGGAGTTGTCACAGAGTAATCTTGTGCTTCAGAAGGAGGGTTTTCCAGAGTATCATCCAGGATTTTGATTTTTAAACATTGCTTTTTATACTTGTAAAATAATAAAAAAACCACTTAAAATATTTTTGCAAATCTTCGAGTTTTGCCTTATCTTTCTTAGTGATATTATGTTAAAACAATGTTCTTTGCTATGATTTCTTTCTACCAGTTTTCTGAAACGTTCTCATGTAAATTCTAACCTTCCTTACTCGGTTTTCTCAAAAGAGTAAAGTAAGATATGCAATTTTCTAGGTGAGAGCAGTGTCATAAATCGCTGAAACCTTTCTCTCCCAGAGGATTAAAGAACATACTTAGAGGAGTGCTTGCTCTTGTACTGCTGTGTTGAAATGGCAACCTCTTCAACCTCCCAAAAAGGTAGATGGAAAACAATGTCTTCTGTTTCTGGCACAGTGCTATAGGTATGAAAGGTATTTCTGCTAATATGTATGCCCAGCAGTAGCCAAAACACCGGTGTGTTATCAACTCCTTTCTGGCTCCCGATGCAAAGCACAGCACTGTGAGGGCTGCTGTGGGGAAATGAACTCCAGCTCAGCCAGAGCCAATACAAGGGGGTAAACAACAAAGAGCAGTGTCAATAAGGCTGTGCTCAGAGGAGGTTGAACAAGGAAGAGAGAGCTGTTGTTTGGTGTTAGTTGAGACCAATCGTTATTGGACTCAAATTAGAAAATCTGCAAGAAGGTACAGAGGTTTCTAAATATTAACTGCTCAAGAGGAAAGCTAAAGTACATGCATTCATATGAGTGTGTGAATATGTATATTGCTGATCCTATGCTCAAGCCACTTAGTAAACATAAAGTAACCTGACTTAAACAGGAAAAGAGCAATTTGTACACATCAAAAAAGAGTTCTCCACCTTGCACATACTGGGAAAATCAAAATGTTCTGCTCTTCTTTGTGGTAGTTATAAAATGACATTTTAGCATCAGTTTAATTTCATAAAGCCAGAAAAAATCAACTTTACACAGAGGTTCACTTTCAGATTCTGTAGAGGTGAGAGGGTTTATTTCTAGTTCTAACTGTGCATAAGAGACCAGGATAGGAAATAGTACTCACAGTTCCTGCGTCCTACTCCTACCATTTTGGACTTCTTCCCCCAGTTCTCTTTATACTCAGTTAACATCCCTTAGCAATCTCATATATATGCTTTGTAATCCTTGGGAGGCCCAGACCAGCTCACTTGCAGTCTGCTTCAGACCATTATTTCCTATTTTGAGACTTTGCCTCTTAAAATAACAAGGAAAACTTTCTTGCAAGAGAAAGGCAAAGGTGCAGGTTACTGAGGCGTTAATGAGCAGAGTTAATCAGTGCCCTCTCTCTGGGACAAAGTTTCTGTATTCTTTATGGAGTGTTGCTTAAGCTCCCAGCCCTTGCTCCTGACTGCATATATATATATATATATATATATATATACACACACTATAATACTTACTTCAGTCAGGTAAAGGATTTAATTTAGGTCTGTGCTCTACCTCTTCCCTATAACCTGTGACAATAGTAGAAGTATGCGCTTGCATGTTTGACTGACACTGCCATGCAGAAGGAAGGACATGCTGAGAAATTTCCTACATTGCAAAGGAACCAATAATTTACAATGCTGACATCTAGCACTATACTGGGAAAAAAATTTTTTTAGAATTTTTAGATTTTTTTTTAATCTAATGCTGTGTATTGAAAGAAGAGTGATCCGTGTGGGACAGAATTACATCCAAATGTTCGGAATTGTGTTACGTCTGTTTTCCTGTTTGTAGCTCTGAACCTCTCCCAGGTTCTCCCTGAGAACCTGGAATTCTACATGAAAAATAAGGGTGGGATTGGTCCCAGGCACTTGAAGAAGAGGCAAGACAGAGTAGGAAATAGCCCAGTGGTGGCAGCGTGTGGTTCTGTGGGTTGCTGGGTACAGCATTATGCGCAGTTTTTCTTGTACACAGTCCACTGATGTGTCCCCAGCTGTTTCGACTTCTGTGACAGGTATAATCCTTTAGATAGCAGAAATGTTGCAGACAGTACTACTCTTACTGTAGTTCTCTTGTGCTTTATAAACTCTGTTTGCTTCCATCAGTTTGGTCCTTTATCACAAACACTACAGCCATAAGATGAGTTCTGCTGAAATGTCTACTCATTTAAAGAAAATACAACTGTGATGGAGGGTCTCCTCATGTATATTCTAGATTGTCTCTGACCTTTTCTGGCATTAGAAAAGCAATAGGTAAAGTTGGTGTTAGTAGTAGGTCATGCTGGGAGCAGGACTCAGACTAAGCTGGAGAGCAGTGAACAAGAAGAAAATAATTGAGCATTATCTTCAAACAGTGACAAACGTGTAATGTACGTATTGTAAGTTATTACAGGGGCAGTTGGAGAAATAAATGACCCTCCTTGCTCTTTGTGGTTTTTTGTGTGTGTGTTTTGGTGGGTTGGTTTGTTTGTTTGTTTTGGGGTTTGTTTTTGTTTGTTTGTTTTGTTTTGTTGGTTTGGTTTTGTGGTTTTTTAGTTGTTTGGTTTTTTTGTTTGTTTTTTTTTAATTTACCGGGGGTGGAAGTATTTCAGAAGTTTTAGTCCTTCCCAGAATTTAAAAAAATAATAATTTGGGGTTTAAAGAAGTGATGTGTATAGGCTGTTGCAGTGTTTCAGGACTCTTCTATCCTTAAGTGCTACACTTGAGCTGTTTGACTGCTTTGGCGGTTTTTGAACCCAAATTTCAGGCGCAGTGCTTGGTTCGCTCTGCTGAGCTGATGGATGGCTGAGGGGCTCACAGAGCTCCTGACAGAGGTGGTGGCTCGGACTGCACTGGCGTGTGTGCAGTGACAGCAGCAGGGGAAGCCAGGGCTAGTTTGATGTTAATCTCCAGACTTGAAGGCACGATTAAGAGCTAGTAAAAGATACCACGTGGCAAAGTTTTATGCCAGTGACTTGCAAAGATATCTTTTGTTAGTTATACGTGATCCCTTAAAACTCTGCTGATTTAAAGCTGACTGGGTACATGTAGCACATGCTTTTACAACTACTAACAATGTGTAAAGAGTAAAGAGACAATTAAAAGCTTTGTCACCACGGGTGAGAAACGACCATTTCGCAACTCCCGAGTCTCCCCTCACCCCCGGCCGCCATGTTCTCTCTGCGCCTTCTCCGGGCGGGGAGAAAATGGCCTCGGCCGCTCTGGCGGGGGAGGCCGGAGCCTTTCCCCTTGCCCGGCTCGGCCGGAGCGCGGAGCCTCCGGAGCAAAGGTTCCAGCACCCGACCCCGCGGGCTCCCCCTGGCCGGGGGCGGGAGCGGCCCCGCTCCGCCCGCCCGGGGCCGCCTCCCCGGCGCCATCCAGCCCTGCGGAGCCCGGCGGGGCCGGCCTGAGGCGTGGCCTGGGCGCGGGAATCAGTTCACTGTTGGAGAGGGAAATAAAAGACGGGTAGCGAGCGAGTTCGCTTTTCCTCCAGGAGCTAAGCAGCTGCGAGATAACCGGAGTTTTACTGTCATGTTGACTTAGTATCAGGAATTCTTCGCGAATTTATAGAAGCAGTTCCTTTAAGTCTTTAAAGACCCAGTGGGCGGTAACTGTGTGCCTGTGTGAAGTATACAGAAGCCTTTCTTCCAGGATATGCAGCATTGGGAGCTTGGGCAGCTTTGCAAAGTGTTGAGTGTCTGAGCCATGATGCGTCTTTTAAAAGGTCCTTATTTTAAGGAGTAGGTTACTGATTTATGTTCCCCTATCAAAAACAGTTATTTGGAAAAGCTCTTGAATAAGAAAATAATGTGGAGGAAAGAGTGTGTGTGTGTGTGGGGAACACAACAAAACGGAAATTGGGGTTTAAGGAAAAATGCAATCTTCTTTATAGTGTACATTTGATGATCAGTGGCTTTGAAAGTGAATGGTATGTCTATGGGATGTAATTCAAAGAGTAAAATATCTTTGTTACAGTTGGGGAATTCCAGGCGGACTAATTGGCCGGACCGGGATAAAAGAAAAAGACCACTTTGCAGAAGGCGCAACAATGCTGAGAAGAGAAAGTCCCACCGCTCAGAAGTGCACAGGAGAAAACGTACTGCAAACTTGATCTTTCTGAAACTCCTGACAGGTAATCAGCTTTTGGACTTCTGATATCAGCAAGCACGTGTTTTAAGATTTTATTATTCCCATCAGGTGATCTGCTAATGGGTTAATTTTTGAGTTGGAGGTATTTCAAGAGAGATGTCTTACAGCTTAAAACAAAATGCTGTCTTCATAGGGGCACTGGAATGATTTTAATTATGTTTATTGGGTCATTTTTTGTAGTAGTGATTGAGAAACAGAATCTGTAAATGAGAGAGGCTGTCATCAAAAACACAGTTTTGCAGGATGCAGTCACGAGTCCAAACAAGGATGTGACACTGGACATCAGAGTAGCCAGGGATCTGGTCTTAATGTGACCGTTGTTAGTAAAAGGAAATACAAGACATATTATACTAGTTGTCATCCTCCACAGGTGATATGACCAATTTTAATTTAGCTTGAGTTTTGCTTTTTTTTTTTTTTTTTGCTTTTAAGAAGAGAGATTCTCATCTGAGCAGTAGTACTTGATTGTGGGAGGTTGGGAAATTCTGTTGGTAATAATTTATTCCTTTAGATCATATTAGTAGCTTATTCTTTTTTGCTAGGATTGTATTTCCTTCAGTGAAAATGTACAGTTTGTACATATGCTTGTGATATCACAGAACATGGTCTTGCTATTTGTTCACTGAATATATTTGAGCAGATTAATGAACAATAACCATCAACTGGAGTACTTGAAATACAAGTATCACTTTCATTACTTCAAATTTTTTATTATTTATTATTTATTTAAGCCCTACTCAAAAATCCAAGGGAAAACTTCTAAACTTGATTTTGACTAAGTATCACTGAAATAGAGAGGTTGTAATGTCAGACTTAACTTTTCTAAGTATCAGTGAGAAATGTGTAGAATCGGATATGAATGATGTCTGTCCACTAGCAGGGTGGGTTTTCTGATCTTTTTTTTTTATATTTAACTGTTAAAGCTGAAGATTGGAATTGTCAGTTAAGATCTTCAACCAAGACACTACAAAGTAAATGTATATGGTATTTATGATTAAAAAAATTACTTCTTGCCAAATACTCATACAAGTGATTTAATCTTGATTGCTTAAGATGGGTATTTTAGTTTGGCCACAAGCCTATTTTATATACACATATATATATTTGTGTGTGTGTGTGTAAAAGATAATTATTAAATGTTTGGTTTAAGAAAAAAGCGGGGGCCCTGAAATAATGAAGTAAAATTCAATAAATTTCATTAAATACATGTAATTTTTCTTATTAATGCTGTCACAGTGGGGTTCATAAAGTGCTTGCTGATTGCATCAGGTTTTATCTTTACATCTTCGTAGGCTGTAAAGTATTTCTTTGCGGCTGCCACAGTTCCCAAACACAAATTTATGTTACTACACCATGCTGAAAGCAGCCCAGAGGGCTGTGCAGGACTGGTGGCTGAGGCAGTGGCCTGTTATGAGGACGAGGGCTGATGGAGGTAGGTGACCCAGACAATGTGGGGTGAAGCTGCACCCCCCACACTGGGCAATCCTGGGGCCTGGATCACCCTAGGCCTGTGTAATGAGGAATTGGCATCATGTAGCTAACTTAAAGCTTAGTCTGTGGTGATGCAATGCTGTTTGAGTTCTGTCAGTGAGTCTGTTGTAAATGAGGAATGTATTTTGTGTTTTATGACAGTTTTGCTTTGTGCAAGGTAGTAGGCAGCAAGGTTGTCTTTCTAGCCACTGTAGAAGGCACCTGACACCTCAGTTAACATTTTTAATGACTGGTCACTTTTGACTGGCAGTTGTGTAAGGCTTTGAGATGTGGAACTTCCTCCAGTATTAGCCCAGCATACATAAATACAGTGGGGAAATAGGTGGGACTTCTAACCTCTAAAAACAATACTGATATATATATGGGATGAAGTATGTTTTCACAATGCAGTTGTATTAATGCATAGATGAGCTTTGGTTATATTGTCAGCATGTACCAAAAAACCGGAAGGCTAGTGAGCTCATCCTGCCCACGGACACATTTGACCTTTCAGTTTTGACCTGTCTGGCATGGGAGACCCTACCGGAGGCATATGCCACCGCCAGCACAGCTCGCAACCTCATAAGGGCATACTGAAATAGTTTGGTCAAGCCCTGCTCTCCCAACTTTTCCTTCATAGCTTCCTACAGTTTAACCCAGGGACACTTCCTTGCCCTGAGCACCCCTCAAGACACTAGGAGAAGAAGAAGGGAAGAGGGGAAAAAAAAAAAAAACCTGAAGAAAAGTACCAAGATCAGTGTTTACAGAGCTGTTGTACTGTCTACTCTTTTGTATGGGTCCGAATCATGGGTCATTTACCGGCACCACTTGCGTCTCTTAGAACGCTTCCATCAGCGCTGCCTCCGCACAATCCTAAACATCCACTGGACTGACTATGTGACCAACACGTCTGTCCTTGAACAGGCAGCAATCACGAGCATTGAGGCCATGCTGCTGAGAACACAGCTGCACTGGGCAGGGCACATCTCCAGGATGCAGGACTACCGCCTCCCTAAGATTGTGCTCTATGGGGAACTTGCCACTGGCTGCCGCAAGAGAGGAGCCCCGAAGAGGAGGTTCAAGGACTCCCTGAAACAATCCCTCATCCTTGGCCATATTGATCATCACCATTGGTCTACCCTGGCCTCCAATCGGGAGGCCTGGAGACACACCATCTATAACGCTGCTGCTGCTTTTGAGAACACACGCAGGATCACTCTCGAGGAGAAAAGACAACGCAGAAAGAATCGCGTCTTGTCTGTATCACCTGGGGAGTCTTTCTGCTGTGCCTTCTGCAACCGGACTTGTCTATCTCGCATTGGCCTTTTTAGCCATCAGCGCGCTTGTAGCAAGCGTGGGTAGAGCCCTTTCAAATCTTCGTTCGCGAAGCCTAGCCATGATGATGACCAAAAAACCCCAACCTTTCCTGCTAAGGTTGCCATTATTATAAACAATGTATATCTGCATATGCTTAGTTAAAACTAATTACTGTTCCAATCACTGTTAGACCTGTCTCTTCAGAAGAGGCAAACATGTAGCTGTGAAAACAGTCAAAAATGATGGTGGCTGCTCTGATGCAGCTTACGAAGTCCTAGTACTGGAATATCTACAGGCACTGGATCCCAGCAGTACACTGTGAGTATACAAAGCCACCTTTTACTTTGTTTCGGCTTTACAGTTTCTGTGATGTCACTTTCTGTATCATGGGACAGAGGTGTCTCAGCACTAACACGACTGTTGCAAATCATGTCTCGTGGTCACTGTGCCCAGATGCTGGAATGGTTTGAGTACCACGGACACATATGCATTGTTTCTGAGCTCATGGGACTCAGCACCTCTGAGCTGCGTTGAAGAGAACTGCTCTCTGCCATTTAAGCTGGATCACAGACAGATGGCACATCAGACCTGCAGATCTGTGAACTGTAAGGATGTTTCCTTTTTACTTTGTTATGTGAATCAAAATGTCTCTCGATTTCCTTTCAGATGTGTGGCAACAAAGAACACCTGGCAGCGATGAAGCAAATGCTGCAGCCTTTGCTGTATCACATGATAAAAGAAAAACTGGACTGCTATAGTTTAAATATTTTCAGATTAGGTTTAAGAGCAAACTTTTTTAAAAAAAGTTTAATAACCATGGAGTCATCCTTGTGCTGTATTTAACAAGCTTGTGGAATATTCCCAGATCAATTCCCAAGTTATTAGTAAACATCTGGTAAACTTCTACTGAAGGGACAACACAGAATTTTGAATAACAGACTATGTTCTGTTTGTTTAAGCAAATGCAGATATTTCTGTGCTGGCCAGCTGGATTGGGACGAAGAGAGTCCTGCTGGCAGATACGTACAAACCCACTGTAAGCCACTGAAGGTGAGACGGGGGAAATAGTTTTGAGGAGAGGAGCTTCGAGTGCAATTAAAAGATAAACAACAGAGCATTTTTTTTTTTAAATTTTCATTAATGAATTCATAATGATGTGCCAGGATTCTGACCACAAAGAACCTCTTTGACCCAAACAAGCGCATTACTCTTAAAGCAGCACTGCAGCAGCCTCTCTTCTGCCCACACATGCAGAAAAAGGGTGCAGGCTCCTGAAGCCAAGCAGGCTGACTCACAGGGCAGTGCACCAAAGAAACCTGCATGTCATAGACTATTTATTACTTGGTTATTTTGTAAATACTTTATGTTGTAAATGCCTTACTTAGTAGTATGACTTTTTGGATACTTAAGTTTAATCCAGCTGTTGGCATCGAACTTATTTAGAATACAATAGTAAACTGGTTATGTTTTCTCATTAAATCAAACTTGTGGGACACTGGCACCTTTAACATCTGGAAAAGAAAGAGCACCCTAATACCAAGAAAGTATTATTTTAATTATGTTTTATTCAACGGTCCTTGAAATAGCAGAAGACCTGCTTTTTACCCTTTAGTGTCACTGTTGCTTTCTTTTTGGATAAGGAGCAGAAACATCCCTTGATGTTAAGTGTAAGGATGGCCTTTATTTGCTTTAAAAAAAAAAAGTTACAAAGTAAGGAAGATCACTGTAGTACTGAACAGATTGCATTGTGATGACCAATTTTTTCATTATTTTATTAGGTGTACTCTGGTTACCAGTATTTCAGTTAATGCTCACTTAGCTTACAACAGTATAGACTTCACTCTTTGACCCAATCTTTCTGAATTGAACTGTCCTGAGAATTCCCATTAGGAATTAAAGTTTCAGGGAGCAGATAAGCTGTTCGGTTTAGCATGTCAACTGCCAGCATAAAAGAATCTTTAAACTGCATTTACAGAGCAGCACAAAGAAGCTGCCCCCCTGCCCCATCCCTGCCAGCATCGCCCAGCTCGAGAAAGCTGTATATGGGACAGCACTGCTTGTACTTCCATGAGGGAAGGGGAAAGGTGCCCCCAGAACTGATGCTCAGCTGCAAGGGCACCTGACAGCCCCTCAGGAACACAGCCACCAGCTGTGACAGCCAGCAGGCTCGGAGATGCCACTCTTCATGCCCTACACAGTTACCAATCACTGCCACCACTACAGCTTCTCTCCAGTAGCTTGCAGGGCTGGGGCACCCACCTCACCCCACAGCTGGAATAGAGGATTGCTTTATGCTGGAAGTCTGGTAAAGGGATGACAAAATACTTGAGGACATGGACAGCCACTGATGAAATGGGCTATTTGGAGTAAGTGTTACAGACTGCAGTGCCACACAAGCCACGGTCTCTTCACTTGGAGGCTTTTTACAGTTTAATTTGCAAGCAGAACTGCCCTGTCTCATTCACCATATCACATCTACTCCAATACAGATAGAAATCCCAAGGGGTAAGGTGGATTTCACTGTGGAAGGCCTTAAATGACATTATTACAGTAGAAAATACAGGAGGTAGAAGATAACTGAAAGGACAAATGCAGGTTAGAGTCAAATCTATAACAGCTCCAGTAAGCTACTTGAACATGGTTTTAAAAACTAAATCCAGTATTTCAGTAACTATAGAAAACAGTTAAAATAAATTGCCATGAGAGCCCTTATATCATGCTTGATACAGGGAGGTAGGATGTAAGAATCAGAAGGACACATGAGACATGACGCTTATCTACAGCTCCTGTTTGCTTTACTGAGGACAGAGTTTCACAGGTCAGTCACCTTCTTCAGCTTCAGACTCCGACTCTGCAACAGAGACACCTCATCAGCAGCCTGCCCACAGGTCAGCCCCAGCCCCAAGCTCACTGCTGCCCTACATCCTGCATTAAAGCTGCTGTTGGACCCACTTGGATTTCACAGGCAAGCTTTTCTAGCCAGTACCAGGGTAGGGGGCACTCTTGTCTTGAACATCCCCACCCTCAGACACAGTGTTACTGCACCAAGTTCCCAAAATGAACAAGCTCCACTTGTGAGCTAAGCTGCTGCTCACCTTCTTCAGCATTCTTGAGCCATTCAACAAACTTTTTCATCTGCTCCAGAAAAACACTCTTTCCTTTAGCAAGATGTGCATCTTTGTACCACTTCAAGATGGGTTCTTCACTCAGAACTTCAGCTGTAGGATGTGCAAGAGCAGTGTTAACACAGCAAACTGCTGAGAACCCCCGACTGGCAGCCTTTGCTTCCCCCGCTAGGAGCATCACATGCTCCTTCTGTGGGTCCGGCTGGACAGACCTGCACTAGGAGTGGCTCCTGTTTTAAAATCTCGAGAGCTGTGCATTTTGGATTGGCTGCTGGGATTTTCCTGAGCACTGCATCTAGGAGCTGCACTTTCACTCCCACTAACAGTCTGGGGTATTTCAGTTACTTGAGATGGCACACACTCTAAAAGTTTCAGTTAACAGCTAAGAACAGATGCAAATTCTTTAAAGTCAAAAGTACACCACAGGAAGTGTTTAGCAGTTTTTAAAATGTTACAACAAAATCTTCAGTTTAACAAGTTTCCACAGGTGCACAGCACAGTTTTTCAGTAACACCTTTAATCAGACATTTAAAAAGAGAGCTTGGAACACCCCAGAACATGGTGGTGGTCTCCATCTATGGCTGTTCAGTCAATGTTAAGAGCACTAAGAAAAATACACTGTCATGTATCCTTCCCTAACTTAAAAGGGACAAAGTGTCTTAAAATCAAAATTTAGCTTTCTTTGAACTATATAACTCTTGAATAGATCTGCAGCAGACAGGCAGCATCTTTGTCTAGAGGTGTACTTACTTCCCAAGTCCCAAGGACCAGCCACATGCACCTTTGCATTTTACTACTCCATTTTTGCAAACAGAAGGTAGAAAATTCTTCAGCTCATGAAGTGCAGTGTTGTAGCACTGATCTTCCCTAGAGGACTTAGGAGGACTGAAGCATTCTGCTTCAAAACACCCACCCAACCAAAACAACCCCCCAAAACTCCTAAACTGCAACCCCCACAGAAGTTACCTTTATAGAAGAGCACCACTATTTTCTGGAAGGCCTTCATGAAGTGAATGTTGTCATAACAATACTCCTGAATCTTCAACAGAAGAGTCAGCTCTGACTGACCTTGGGTGGTGAAGGCAGCAAGTAGAGGGCTGTATTGCTGTAACAAGAACAACAAATTGGCACACGCAGAACACTTCACATGTACTGCCTGACTAGGCCGGTTTCACACATCCATCAACCACTGCTTAAGAAATCTGCAACCACGGCCCCACCCCAGAGTGCTCCTGCAGCAGCCATGCTGCCTCTGCCTCAGGAACCTGGCCTGCAATACTCCCTGCAATACAAGGGGAGGAATTCCCCACCTAATGCTGTCTCTGCGTTAGCAGGGCTGTTACAAGGCTTTAATATTTAAAAGGCAGCTGGAGACAGAAGGAAGCCCAAGCCCTACCCAAGGGGTGCAGAAGTTCATAGTGAAGTTACAATACCTTCAAATGCTTAATGGCTTGCTCTGCTACCAGCTCCTCTTTTTTGTTCCATTCCACCGTGCTCATTACACTTGACCAGATTATGGTTACCACAGTCTGTTCCGAGATGTTGTTTTTCTTCATCTCCTCCTTCACATACAAGATGATCTGCCAGTTAAGTAAGAGTCAGCACAAAGACCACATATGGCACCAAGCTAAATTAAAACTTCTGTTCTGAAGGTAACCCAGAAGGTTTCAGAACCACACACAACCTCCTTCATCATACAGCAGAATTCAGGACATGAAGGAAAGACTACAAAGCTAATACCAAAACCCCCGGGCCTAATTTTGATTCCTGGTGAGAGCTAAGTTCAGGATGAAAGAGACAGACACACACACACACAGAAAGCACCTCCACCTCATCTCCAGACAAATACTTACATCCTTGAACGGATCTCCCCGTGACATCTGCTCCTGCAGTTCTTTTTGCAGCTCCTTCCGAGCTCCTATGGATTGCTGGTTCCGAACATACTCAGAAAGTTCTTTTAGTCCTGCTTCAGTGAAGTACTTGGAGAAGTGTTCAACACTTTGTTTGTTGGCTGGGAAGAGTTCCTGAAAACAAAGTTTACAATTCTTTTGTGAAAAAAATGTCCGTTGAGTACCTTGCTGGCAAATGCTATTTACTAAACTGGCTAAGTAGTAGGAGAGTCATTTCAGTGGTACTCACCATCAGCCTATTATCCATGTTTACTTTGCGAAGACTGACAGCCACTGCATTAATATCTTTCTCATTTATCCATGATTTGAACAGCTTGACTGCAAAAGCTGCAGAAACACCTGTGTAATAGGAATAGTACTGTTTTTAGTGAAATTCAGAACAAAGGGAATCATAAGGCCTGAGAGCTCAGGGCACCTAGTCTGTCAGATCCCTGCTGAGAGCAGCAGCAGCTGTGCTCCCAACATCCCTAGCACAGTCTGCAGCACCCCTCTCTGCCTGAAAATACTGCAGCCTCCAGCACACTGGACTTCTCTTACATTCAGCATCATGAAGTCTTCCCAACTCTCCTTGCTGCAATTTAGGAAGAAACCTAAAGACATGACACACCTTTTGCATCCTGAAAGGCCCCTCTCCAAAATACAGGACTGCCTCACTGGGCAGCATTAGTGATGGCAGCCCCCAGGGTCACGCAGGGAATTCCTACACACAAGCTTTCTGAAAGGACTCATTTCTGAAGTCTCTCAGGTTGTGGGGCAGCATGTTTACCTTTGCTAGTCCTGTAGTTAATCTATCACCAGGTGAAGCTAGAGAGCTGCAAGGGTACCTACTTGTCATGGTTCTGTCCCCCAACATCTTTCCCTAAAGGAGGAGTTGGGCAACACTTACCTTCTTTAACCAAGTTCTCATTGTAAAGACTGTTGAGAATCGATGCATTCAGCGTCCCATTGGCCAGCAGGATACCCGTCAGCATGGCCAGTTTGTTCCGCTCAGATTCTGAGAACCCTTTCAGGAACAGCAGCAACTGCAAGAGGAAGTAAGAAGAGTTGCCACAAAACTCCCATCTCTCACTAAACTTTGGACACTGCCTCTGTGTTAAACACTTTTGTTTCAATCAAACTGTTCATTAGCAGAAGCACTGGTAGTCTTCTCCACTACTGACAACAGCTAGCTGTTCTTTTGTTAGAAACTTGTGTTGTATTTTAATAATCCACTTTATGCTGTGACTCTTCTACAGTGATGAACTAGCAAAATTTGAAGGTTTATTTGTCTGCTGATAAAGCCCTACTTCATACCTTTTTGACTTCATCCTCAAAGCCTTTCTCCAGGTATTTGTAACGCCTGATGAGCTTGTTAAAAACCTAAAAAGACACAGAACATATTATTTTGTGCTCTAAACTATCATTCAATTACAATTTTAAAAAATCAACCAAGTTCAGTAAAGTAGGTCTGAACTCTACAAAGCACTTTTAGAACAGTGCAACTCTTATCACTTCCATTATGCCTCTTAAAGCTACGTATTATTCTTACCCAAACTTTCAACTACACAAACATTTAATTTTTGACCACTAAACAGTTTCAAGTTAAATTGTACTCATTTCAGAACTAACCTGAGCAAATGCTTGCATGGTTTCTAGGTCTTCCTGTGCTGCAAATACACAGACGTTTGTGCGTGTCATGTCGTCTGCCAGGGTACCACCTGGGGCTGGGGAGGATTTCAGCATTAGTAGTGTTACTCCACACTGAGTATACTGAGTAGTCTCCACAGTAAGAACTCAAATACCCAAAACATGCAACACGTTGTCCTTTCATGATGCTGAATGACCAGACCACTGAAGATCGCTGCATTTCCGTCTGTTCCACTGCTGCAGTGGAACTTCAAAATCAGTACCTTAGATTTGAATATTTAAATATTCTGACCCCCTACTGCTAAGTGGATTGGCAAAACATCTTGTTAACACATGAGTAAGTTAACACAGCCGTCTGAGCTCCTCTTTCCTTAAAGGGGGCCACTGAAGCTGCTTCATCCTAGCAAGTGTCTCTAGGGTCTGCAGCAACAGTGCTGCTTTGTAAGTGCCTTTTACATGATGCAGTAAGTCACAATAGGAGACTGAAACACACAGAGATGCACGTTCAAAATTCAGCACCCCAGAGATGAGTTTGAAACCTGAGGTTTTTTTAGGCTGCTTCACTAATGAAAGTGCATTCAGGTCACCAGCTTCACTGCCAGAACACCTCATCATGGATTTCTGTGCCATCCTGTATACAATTGAGATCCTTTTGTTACGTTACTAGCCCAGATACATGACTTTAAAAACAGAGATGAGTATTAATATTAAAAGGTGGTAAGGCAACAGGATGTCAGTTTTTATTCTGGCCTCATCTGACTGAAGATCAAAGTCAGTCTACTTAGCTACCTGTTACAGAGAGGGAGTTGAGTAAAGGACCCCATATCATTAGTAATGCAGCAATGCCTCCTTCCCTTTCCTCTCAGCCTTATTCCTAGAAGAAACACTTCCTAACACAATATGCACTGGTTAAGACTCTTAAATGTGAAGTCACATATCATAACAATTACAGCCTGTTAGGTGAGCAGCTGTTCCTCTTTGCTCTTTACACACATGTGCACATGAGTTTACAAGACTTTTTGTCATCACATTTCACTTCCTCAGTTCCC